AAATTCCAAACAGATCAAATATTGAAACCATGAAGAAACCATAAAAATACTAGAAGAAATCAAGAGAAGGCATTTATATGAGCCAAGAATGGGGATGATCTTTCTTAGATTAATATAAATTCCAGAAACCATAAGTGAAAATTCAATAATTTTGACTATATGAACTTTCTTTTAAAAATTCTGCAAAACAAAAATAGGCAAAGTAAAAGACAAATGGCAAACTGAGAAAAGCATTTGAAAAGACTCCTATTATGAAAGGTTATTTTTTTCTAATATTCCAAGAACTCCTATTAAAAGAAAAAGTATAGTAAGATGGGCAAAAGAAATTAACAGGAGGTTCTACAAACACACAAAAAAGCAATTGGCTTTAACACATGTAAAAAGATGCCCAAACTTACAGTATGAGGAAAAACAAAATTGCTCTGAAACATTATTCACTGACCATTTCAGTACGTGTTAGTAGTAGGGAAAAATAGGATCCCTTCTACATATAAAAGGAATATAAATTAGTACAAGCTCTTTGGAGGAAATTTGGCAATTTCTATCAAGACTATGATTGGGTGTATCTTTTGACCCAACAACTCTACTTTTGAGAATTTGTCTGATATACATATACATGTATAATTGCATACAAATTATTCATTGTAGTCTTATCGATAATAATAAAACTTTAGAGACAAACTTTGCCCACCAGCACAAGGATTGGCTACAGAAATTACAGTACATCAATAAAATGGAATGCTATGGAGGAACCTGGCTGGCTCAGTCAGTAGAGCATGTGACTCTTGATCTCAGGGTCATGAGTTCAATCCCCATGTTGGGCATAGAGATTATTTTTTTCAAAAAAAGAATGTTATGAATTTGCAAAATAACATGAGGAGTTTCTTTATGTAGTTTTGGAAGGATCCCTAAGATATACTGTTCAATGTAAAAGTCAAGGTGCATATCTGTATAAGTCGAAAGCAACCAGATTTCACGTCGTGTTTATTAAATCAGGCAGAGATTTTATTTGACAAATGTTTGAATCCCTCTATGGACTTTAAACATTTCTCTTTCCTTGACTTAGTCGATTTTCCTTTGACTTAATCCTCCAAAAATACTGTAGGCTGGGTGGCTTAAACAACAAACATTCATTTTTACAGTTCTGAAGGCTAGGAGTTCAAGATCAAGGTAACTTCCTGGTTCTTCCTGCCTTGTCCTCACACCGCACAAGAGTTGAGGGAGCTCTGGAGGGCCTCTTTTATGATAAGGGCATTAATATCCATGAGGACTCCACCTTTTGTGACCTAATCACTTCCCAAAGCCTCCACCAAATACATTCATTGCGGGGGTAGGATTTCAATGTATGAATCTGGAGGGAGACAAACACTTAGTCTACAGCACTCTCCAAATGAGATAGTTTTCTATCACTAAAAAGGTCACATCAAACTCACCTTTTCCTTTTTCTTCTTCTTCTTCTTCTTCTTTTTTTTTTTTTTTTCAAAATAAAGATTTCCATGTAAGCTTGGGTTTGGCTGATACAAACAGCAGAAGGGTGTGGTGGGGCATTTATTTTCCTGTAAAATCCCCTTGTACATCAACCTAGTGTAAGCTCAGCGTGTACATATATGCCTCACATTTTTTTCAATATGAGTAAGCCTTGAGAATGTGGAATTCCACAGTGTGCTTAATTGTGTTAAAAAGGGGGGGGGGGGACAAGAATCTGTGTGTATAGGTAAGTACTTGCTTACACATGAATATACTGTCTACGCCTGTTGGTGTCCTAACAAATTATCATAAACTTAGGGACTTCAAATTACAGAAATGTCTTCTCTTCCAGTTCTGGAGGCCAGATGTCTGAAATAAGTTTCACTGGGCTGAAACCAAGCCATCTGCAGAGCCTTGCTCCCTCTGAAACTCTGGGGGCTCTAGAACAGAGTTGCCTCACCTTTTCCAGCTTCTAGAACTGCATTCCTGGCATTCTTTGGCTCAAGACCCCTTCTTTTCAAAACCAGCAGTATAGCATCTTCAAGTCTCTGTCTGCTGCGGAGGCCGGATAACCTTCTGTGACCCCATCTCCCTCCCTGTCTATATATAACTATTTTTCTTAGTTTATTTATTTATTTTGAGAGAGAAAGAGAGAAAGCATGAGAGGGGTAGGGACAGAGAGAGGGAGAGACCAGAATCTCAAGCAGGCTCCATGCTGCCAGCACAGAGCCCGATGCAGGGCTAAAACTCACGAATCGTGTGAGATCATGACCTGAGCTGAAATCAAAAGTCAAAAGCTTAACAGACTGAGCCACCCAGGTTGCCCCTGTGTCTGTTTTATACTTGGGATTGCATCCATGGCCCATCCACGTAATCCGGGCTAATCTCATCTCAAAATTTGCTGAGCAGCACAAGGTTAATAAGGGAAGAAGTTGGAATAAGAATAATAATACTAAGTGAACAAGCTGTCAGCCCTAGACTGACACAGCACTACACTAGTAAATTAAAATTCTGTTTGGATTCCCACAAGGCGACAGTTGAGACCCCTCAAATTGATTTCACAAGTCACAAATGGGCCACAATTTCTCAAACACAGCCTTGAGATCATAAGTTCAAGAAAGGAAACCTTGGCTGTTTTGTTCACCACTGCATCCTTGAAGCCCTGACATTGACAGACACAAAGAAGGCTCTCAATAATGAGTTGATAAAAAAGCCTCTTACATAACAATCCCCGGCTGGAGAGAACCGAGAAATTACCTAGTGCAGGTCATTACAAGGGGTATTAACCAGCACTCTGACTTAGGTGATTCACATTATGTCATTTGCCCAATGGTGAGTGGCAAGGGTGACAACACAACATTTCTTCATGCATTCAGATCTTCCTCTACTTATGGTGGAGTTACCTCCCAATAAACCCATTGTGAGTTGAAAATATATCGTATGTTGGGGGCGCCTGGGTGGCTCAGTCGGTTAAGCGTCCGACTCTAGATTTCAGCTCAGGTTGTGATCTCGAGGTCATAAGATTGAGTCCTGTGATGGGCTCTGCACTGAGCATGAAGCCGGCTTGGGATTCTCCCCGTCCCTTTCTCTCTGCCCCTTCCCTGCTCGCACTCTCTCTTTCTCTCCCAAAATAAATAAACATTTTTTAAAAAAATCATAGGTTGAAAAATGCATATTAATAAGCCTAAACATACAGAACATCATAGCTTAGCCTAGCTTCACCTTAAATGTGTTCAGATCACTTAACGCTAGCCTACAGTTGGACAAAATCAACTAAAACAAAGCCTATTTTATAAGAAAGTGTTGGATATCTCATTGTTTACATACTGTACTGAAAGGGAAAAACAGACTTTGTATGAGTGCAATGGTTGTTAAGTGTGTGGACTGTTCATTTTGATAGCATGGCTGACTGGATAGCAATGGCTGATAGCTTGCTGCTACCCAGCATATGAGAGAGGATCAAACCGGATATTGCTAGCCCAGTGTGAATCTTTAAAAAGTAAAATAAAAACCGCCAGTTGTTTTACTGGCAAAATTGGGCTTATTTAAGAATAAGAGAGAATTGCAATCCGGGACAAACAAGTTGCGGCAAAACCCTAGGTGATTCCAGAGAATAAAGGAGAGGTACCCTTTCTTAAGGAGAAAATGGGTGGGTTGGGAAGGCTGTTAGAAACCAAAAAGTCCACTGGAGTAAATTGGGAGTTCAAAGTATAGTGTCTTGGCTGAGCTCTTTCAGCGGTGTGGGAGATAAGGTAAGGCTTTCTTCTTCTCCTCCCCATCCCCCATAGTAAAGTAGTACCAAGCAGCAAGGTCCAGTCCCGGCAATGTCAAGACAGTCTCTTCCTGTTGGGCCTGCAATTGACAAGGAGTGATAGGGAGGGAGAGTTCCCTTTCCCAAACCCCCGACTCCACTTCACTGAGGTTTCCGGATATTAATTTTCACGTCAGCAAAAGAGCAAAATTCAAAATATCAAGTACAGTTTCTTTTTAAAAAAATTTTTAATGTTTTAAATTTATATCTGAGAGAGAGAGAAGAAAACAGCATGAGCAGGGGAGGGTCAGAGAGAGAGAGGGAGACACAGAATCCAAAGACAGGCTCCAGGCTAGCTGTCAGCACAGAGCCAGACGCAGGGCTCGAACCCACGAACCGTATGATCATGACCTGAGCCTACGCCGGACGCTTAACCGACTGAGCCACCCAGGCTCCTCAAGTATAGTTTTTAACGAATGCTATCATTTCCACACCGCGGTAAAGTCCGCAAACCCTAAGTAGAGCTGTGATAAGTGGCGGTCGGGGATGCGGGTGGGGGGATAACTATCTGTATTGGAAATAGTATTTAGTATATAGTAAGCCTGGACTAATGTATACCAAATTGTTTATACATTCTGGTGAAGAGATTGGGAGTCAATTTTATGTTTTATATCTCCATATTAATTGCATTTTTACAAAGAAAATATATTACAGTTAAAAAACGCAATAGATGGGAAGCGGGTGGGAGAAATGGGATAACTTTTTTTTTTTAGCTAAAAAAAAGTAGGGGCGCCTGGGTGGCTCAGTCGGCTGAGCATCAGACTCTGGCTGAAGTCAGGATCTCACAGCCTGTGAATTCCAGCTCTGCATCAGGCTCTGCGCTGACAGCCTGGAGCCTGCTTCCAACTCTGTGTTTCCCTCTCTGACCCTCCCCACTCTCGCCGTCTCTCTCGCCTTCAAATATAAGCATTAAAAATTTTGTTTTAAATGAAACAAGACCAAGTGTCGGAGACCTGACAGGTGCTTAAACTTACCCAAATCAGGACAAAGAGATCAAAGGAAAAACAAAAAGCAAAAAACCTAAATGGATATTTTTTAAAAACCTTTCCATTCCAACCTGCAATATGGAGCAACCCTATACTTATTCATTTCCACAGCCTCCTCACTTAGCCCAGTGCCTGGCTCCTAGTCGACACCGAATAAACGTGCATGCAAGAAAGGACTCTTTTCATAAGGATGGATGGTAATTTCCAGGGCAAATCCAAAATGTACAAAATCTACATTTCGTTAACAAGGTATCGAATCACACGGTCACAGGTGGGCATGGGATGGCTTTTTTTTACTGCAATTCACTTCCAGCCCGGTCAGGGGCTTCGAGTGCACTTCTCTGCGCCCCAGCTCACGTCCCGACAGGCTTCAAATTCCAGACGCTCAAGTCTCCAGGTCCAGTTATCGCAGCTACAGGTTCGCGCCCGCCCGTCTCACGCATGCGCCCTACGCCTGCAGGGCTCGGCGCTGGGAGCCCAGTTCTTGGTTTAAACCGGCCTCAATTTACCTTCCCCACAGCCTTCCATACAACTGCGCCTGAGGCGGAAGTGAGAGGGCGGGGCGACCGCGCGCCCCGCCCCGGAAGTGGGTGGGCCCAGCCGACCCAACAGTCTTCCCGGCCGCCTCCCAGTCGGGTTGGGGCCGAGGCCGGTCCTGGCTTTGTAGCTCGCTCAAGATGGCGGCGCAGCCACCCAGCGGGATCCGCCTCAGCGCGGTGAGCAGCCGCGAGGGGTGGAGCGGGCCGTGTCCCAGGAGGGCGGGCAGGCGGGCAAGCGAGGGGGGGCAGGCAGTGGGCGGTGGCGAATTGTCGGCGCGGCGGCTGGGGCCGCGGCGGGGCCGGGGGAGGGGGCGGCCATCTCGCTCCCGTCGGCGGAGCCGCTCGGCGGCGGGCAGGGTCGGGCGGCGCGGGCCGGGCTGCGTTCCGTTTCTTCCGCGCTCGGTTTCTGTTTGCCCTCGCGGCTTCTGGGCGGGCCGGGGCCGCGGCCCCTCCTCCCGGCTCCCTCCTGGCTGCCTCGCAGCTGTCGTCCGAGGGCGAGGCCTCGGTGGCCCGGTCGCCCGCCCCTCGGACATCGGGGCCCCTGACCCTTCCTGGCCTGCGGGCCCGCGGGGTGCCCCGGAGCGGGAGGGAGCGACAGCGGCAGATTGCGGCCCGAAATGCCAGGCGGCCTTGACCTTTAGGTAGTGGGATGGGGTGAAGCGAGCCGGAACGAGTCTTCCTGATCCGTTTACATTCCTGCCGCTTCCCTCCAGTTAAGCCCTCGGGCCCAAATCACCGGGTCACTGGGCTCTCCCGTTTCCTGTAGCCTTTCGGTCGTGTCTGTTTCGGGGCGTTCTTGGAAGTGCTCCAGCATTTCTTGTATCTAGGAGTCCTAAGTCGTAGGGAGCGGTCGCACTCTAGAATTAAAAATTTCACCTCCTGAAATGTGGGCGTGGCTTCCCTACCTGATTATCCTTAGAAAGTTGGTGGTGGTATGCAAAAGTATATCTCCTCTTTTGAGGTTGGTTACTCTTGCCAGAGAATGTCTACCTTAGTCTGGTTAAATTGAACAATCGGGAGGGTGGTGGTAATGTCATTGCTGTAAAAATGGTGCATTGCCCTGTGACTTTTCTGGATTTAATCAGATTCGTAACCCACACCTGGTATTGTTGGACTTGACAATTTTTCTTGTATGATGAATGTGAAGTGTACATGGGTTTACTTTACGTTTCCGTGACTGTGAAGTTAAAAGTTATTAACATTTGACTCTTTAAAAAAAAAAACAAACCTATTTATGGGGCGCCTGGGTGGCTCAGTTGGTTAAGTGTCTGACTTCAGCCCAGGTCATGATCTCACAGTGAGTTCCAGCCCCCTTGGGCTCGGCGCTGACAGCTCAGAACCTGGAACCTGCTTCAGATTCTGTCTCCCCCCCTTCTCCCGCCCCTCCCCCACTCAAGAACGGGTGTGCTCTCTCTCTCAAAAATAAAATAAATATTAAAATGCCTCTTTATATCCTTTGCCCATTTTTCTGTTTTCTCTTGGAGAAATTTTTATTGACCTATAAGCATTCTTTCCCCATACTGAATAAAGGTCTTTTGGTTACATAACTGGCGTATTGAATGAGATAGTATACAGTAGTTTGAATATGGAGAAAATTTTCTTCTTATCTCTGGCTTTAAATATTATTTGCTAGTGATCCTTTCCCATGCCGAGTGAATCCGGGCGGATGTAATAACATTCCAGTTAGCCTCAGGTATTCTGAAGTGTGACCTCATCTAATTTAAAATCTCTTATTCAATTTAATGCCTGGCCCATCCGCTTCCCAGATTGGGCCACCTTCTGAACCAGAATCGTATAGTAGGGAAAAGGAGTCAACTGGTTTGGTCCTATGTCTACACTTGGATTCTCTTCTCCCTTCCCTGCCCCCTGCAGTGTTGCTGTCTCAGGCTCTTCTAGATTGAGGTGATAAAGGGAGCAAAGATGAGGGTCAAAACGGTATTAAGAGACCAGTTTTGTTAGTTGGCTGTCTGGGTGAAACAGCTGTCCTTGTGCTAGATCTTTCTTTTGTGGCTAATATGGGCTCTTTGAAACCCCATTGAGGGAAATCTCCCCATCTGCAGCTTCTAGACTGTATCTCCACCCATCTCTTTGCTTTAGTATAGGAATTGGCAAACTACAGCGCATGGGCCAAATCCAGCCTGCCACCCGTCTTTGTCTGACCCATAAGCTAAGAATGATCCTTAAACAGTTGGAAAAAAAATCAAAGAATATTTTGTAACATACAAAAGTTATGTGACATAGACATTTCAGTTTCTATAAAGTTTCATTGGAATACAGCCCTGCTCATTGTTGCGTATTGCTCTCAAATGTTTTCATTAGGAGAGTCTAGGAATTAATGAGTTTATGTATTTGTCAAAAGTTATAGAACCTAAGGCACAGGGGTGAACCATAATAATGTATGTAATTTTTTTTTTTTTAATTTAGGAGGTTGAGAGATCCTAGAATGAACTGCAGAGTGACAAAAACATTTAAATTGTTGCTTTTTGCCTCCATATTTCTAAATAAAAAACGCTGGTATCATTTGTTATTTTCCAGGAGTCCTGCTGTGGATTTAACTGACTCCTGTACACTCTCTTCACCTCCTCCCATCCTTCCAATGCATGCATCTCTCATTTTGTTGAATTACTATATGATTTATCACTTTTACCGTAATTCACAAATGAGCCAAACAGAATTATGATTGCATTTTCTTTGCTGTACAGCTTTTTGTTTTTCTTAAGTTAATTGTATTTTGTTTGCATAGATTGGCTCTGTACTGATCACTCCTTCATCCACTTTCACAGAACTGGAAAATGTTTTCCAGATGTGTTCAAGCACACCCAATATTTTGTCCGTTTTGTTGGCTCACTTGTGTTTTGGGGACTTCCCTTTATCATTTTTCTGGAAATTTCCTTCCCCTTTTTGTTGGATCTCCATCCCACATATTCCTCTTTCAGGGTTTACTCCCTTGGGTGGGACAACAGGTTAGTGACTGAGAGCATGGGCCCTGGAGCTCACTTGCCTGGGTTCAAATCCTGACTGACAACTGGACATGTAACCTTGGCAGTTACTTACTGTCTATGCCCGAGCTTCCAGTCCGAAGGGTGGGCATAGTTTACGCACTTCAAAGGGTGGTTTTAAACCTTAAAGGAGCAAATACATATAAAAGGCCTGTGCATGTAGTAAGCATTCAGCAAATACTTGCTGTTTTTGTTCCTGGTAGTGGTGGAGCCCATCCATCCTTCCTGAGAGCAGAGTACACGGGAAGAAAAAAGTTTTAGGTCTTTTCTTGGAAATATATTGTTTGCTCTTTATTTATCATTTAGCTGGGTCTGTAATTCTAAATTAGAAATGACTTAGAATTTTAAAGGCATGCTTTATTGTAACAGAGTTCTGTGCATTGTATTGGGCACTTAGGCTAGAAACTAAGTCCTTAATAATCAGGAAAGTTTGCTCATGTATTAGACAAATTTTGTTTTTCTGTTCTCTGTTGTCTCCCGTTTTCCTTCTCATTGTATTTTCTTTACTGTGAGATTTTTCTCCATTTGTTCTCCTGCCTTGCTCTTACCATTTATTTAAATACTATAAACACTATCTTATTCTCTGAATGTCTTTTTAGAATCTTCCCTGGACAAAATAGTTGCTATTGCTGGGCATATTGATCATAGTATTTTTGAAGTTTCCTTTGGCTCACTGCATTTCCACTACTTTATTCCTTTTTCTGTGTGTTTTTTATTTCTAGTTTTACACAGTCTCAAATGTCTGGAGATAGTTAATGTGCTGTTAACTAGAGACACTAAAAGCTGACTGGACGCTAAAAGCTACTTCATACATGAGTAGAGCCCCTTTGGTGGGCTTCAGTGTTGGGTGACCAGATAGGAAGGAATCAGTTGTGTTGTGTTTGGGGCACCCTATGTCAGTATTTGTAAGACCCTAAAGAATGGAAGTGTTAAAAAAATTTGTTTAAAATAACTTAAAATTTTGTGATGAGCTGCAGGTGTTAAATGGAAGTGTTGCATCAACTATATTGTACATCTGAAACCAATATTACAACATATGTTAACTAACTAGAATTAAATAAAAACTTAATAAAATATAAAATAAACTTTTTTAAAAAGGGAGAACAACCAAAATAAGATGCTATCCAGAAAGACTTGGCCCAACTTGTAATAAAAGAACCAAATGGAACTTTTAGAAATCATTCTATTTTCCAGAGAGGAATTCGGCATCTAGTCTCTTCCCAGGGCATATACAATCCTGGCTTCTAGCTCTTCTGGAGGCTCAACATTGTTCAGCTTGATGTCTTGGTATTTATCTCTTTATTACTGTGGTAAAATACACTTCACTTAAAATTTACCATCTTAACCATTTTTAAGTGTACAGCTTAGTAGTGTTACATACATTCACAGCGTGGGGCACCTGGGTGGCTCAGTCGGTTAAAAGCCCCACTTGGCTCAGGTCATAGTCTTTAGGGTTCAGGTATTCCAGCCCCGCATTGGGCTTTCTGCTATCAGTGCAGAGCCCACTTTGGATCCTCAGTCTCTCTTTCTCTCTGCACCCTCCCCTCCCCCCACATGCAAGCGCAGGTACGCGCTCTCTCTCAAAAATAAACCTTAAAAAAAAATCTTTAGATACATTCACTTTGTTGTACAGTCTCCAGAACTCTTTTCATCTTGCAGATCTAAAACTCTATACCCATTAAAGAATAATTCTTCATTTCCCTTCCCACAGCCCCTAGCAACCACCATTCTGCTTTCTGCGGATCTGACTACTGTGTGTATCTCATAGAAGTGTAATAATCAATTATTTGCCCTTTTGTAACTGGTTTATGTCACTTAGCATAATGTCCTCAAGGTGGTTAGTTGTAGCAAGTGTCCAGATGTCTTGTCTTTTTGAGGCCGAAAAATATTCCTGTGTATGAATATACCACATTTTGTTTATCCATTCATTGATGGACGTTTATGTTGCTTCCACATTTTGGCTCTTGTGAATAGTGTTGTAAATACGGGTATACAGATAGTCTCTTCAAAATCCTGCTGTCGTTTCTTTTTGAGTATATACCCCCTGGTGGAACTGCTGGACCATGACAGTTCTATGCTTACTTTTATAATACCATCCTGATGAGTGTGAGGTGGTATCTCACTGTCCTTTTGATTTGTATTTCCCTAATGATTAGTGATGTTGAGCATCTTTCCTTGTGTTGAGTGGCCACTTGTGTGCCATCCTTGGAGAAATATCCAAGTCCTTTGCCAACTATTTAGGTTTTTAGTCCTTTTGGTGTTGATTTGTGTAGGAGTTCTTTATGTGTTCTGGATATTAACCTTGTACCACATACTGGATCTGCAGATATTTTTCCCATTCCGTAGATTGCTTTTTCCTTCTGTCGGTTGTACCCTTTAATGTGCAGACGTTTTAAATTTTGATAGAGTACAATCGATCTTTTTTGCTTCCTGTGCTTTTGGTGTCCTAGCCAAGATCCAAATCCAGTGTCCTGAAACTCTTCCCCTATGCTTTCTTCTAAGAGTTTTATAGTTTTAACTCTTAACGTTAGATCTTTGATCCATTTTAAGTTTTTTTTTTCCTGTATAATGTGAGGTAACGTGCAACTTGATTCTTTTGCATATAGACATCTAGCTTTCCCAGCACTGTTTATTTAAAAGACTGTCCCTTCCCCATTGAATGGTCTGTACGCACTTGTGGAAGATCATTTGGCCATCCATGGGGGGGGGGGAGGGGGGGTATTTCTGGGCTGTTTGCTGACTTGCCTTTAACCCACCCGTTTTAGTTGTCCCTGAGCTGCCATCATCACTTGCTCCAGAGAACCGAGCGCCCACTTTCTGCTGGGTTGCTTAGAGTAGTTGCAGGATGAAAGAAGGAACTGGGGGGAATCTTCACTGCTGCTGCTGCTGCTTTTTTTTTTTTTTTGGATGTTTGTTTATTTTGAGAGAGAGCGCGCCGAGCGTATGCATAAGCAAGGGAGGGGCAAGCAGGCTCCACCCTGTCAGGGCAGAGCCCGCTGTGGGGCTCAGACCCTCAAACCCTGAGATTGTGACGTGAGCCGAAGTCAGATGCTTATCCGACTGAGCCATGGGGCGCCCCAAACCTGTCTTGTTTTCATACAGCCTCTAGTACCTTTGATTTCAGAGCCACAAATGTCTAATTCCTGAGGCTTCCTGGAGTTCGGCCAAGGTTCCTGGTCTGCTTCTGGTTTCGTTTCCCGTTTCCCATCTCCTGTAGGTTTCAGACTTCACTCTTTACAGGCTATTTAATCAGTTGTCACTACCCAAACTACTCACTATTCTGTGTGCTATTATCCATCACTTCTCTGATTTTTTGTTCTTCTGGGTTTATACCCCCCCCCCCATTACAGAGCAATTTCAGGTGGGAGCATAGGTAAACACTCTATGTGTTCAGGCTTCCAAAAAGTTCTGTATTTAACAGATTTTTAAAATGTGTGACTGTTGATTCTGAAAGTTTTATTGATTCTTTAAAATATCTCTGTAGTCTTCAGAGCATCTTGTTTTTCTGTGTGTGTTTCCTAATGTTTGGGGGTAGGGGTGATGTCTAGTACTAATGTATTTTATCCACTAACATTTTTCTCCTGGTGGATTATTCCCTTAAATGTTGTTTTAGATAAATAAAATACTTAATACCTGGGTGTACTCAAGTATTCCCCCAAATAATGATACAGGGAATCCTATGCTGTCTGATTGAGCCTTGTTTCTCCATAGTAGTTCTGCGGATTATATAAATTGAAGCACTTAACGCAAGTGAAGGCATGCCTTTTTTTTACAGAACTTCGTGTTACTTTTTTTTTTTTTTTTTTTTAAAGGCATCCAGACCAAAACAGACAAGCTTCCCCATTAGGCAGATTCCCACCCCTCCTCTGCTAATGGAGGGGGAGCGGGATGGGGAGAGAGGCTTTTACTTCCAAATCTATCCCTGAGTCACAGTTAAAACCAAAATCTTTGTATTCCAGTTAAACACCTCACTCATTGCATCCTCATTATCAAACCTTATTTTTAATTCCTTTTTTACTTGAAGCCATTAAGGATTTTCCTCATTTTTATTTTTATGTGAGCTCAGTTGTGCCTTTAAGGAATACTTACCTTTTTTTTTTTTTTTTTTAAAGAATACACACAGTGCTTACTATGTTTCCATTGATCTTAGAAGCATTTTATAAATATTAAGTTACTTAATATTCTTGACAGCCTGGTAAACTGATGTTTATCATCCTCATTTTCATAGATGATGGAACTTGAGGCACAGAGGTTAAGCTTCTTGCCCAAGATCACACACCTAGGTAAACATTCTGTGTGTGTGCGTGTGTGCATGTGTGGGTCTGTGGGTCTGTGTGTCTGGATATTACTGCTTTGGCTGCCCCAGGGTGTTTTTCCCCCCTCCTAGCTAATGATATGTTCGAGAGATGAGAATTAAGAATAAGTGAGGGGAGGGGCGCCTGGGTGGCTTAGTCGGTTAAGCGTCCGTCTTTCGCTTAGGTCAGCATCTCGCGGTTCGTGGCTTCGAGCCCCGGGTCGGGCTCTGTGCTGACTGCCGGCTCAGAGCCTGGAGCCTGTTTCAGTCTGTGACTCCCTCTCTCTCTGACCCTCCCCTGCTCATGCTGTCTCTCTCTCTCCTAGAAAAAAAAAAAAAAAGAATAAGTGAGGGGCGCCTGGCTGCCTCAGTTGGTTAAGCATCTGACTCTTGATTTTGACTCAGGTCATGATGTCATAGTTTGAGTCTGGAGTTGGGCTCTGTGCAAAGCCTGCTTGGGATTTTCTCTCTCCCTCCCTCTCCTTCCCTACCCCCATTCGCACACTTGCTCTCTCTCTCTCTCTCCCTCTGTCTCAAAATAAATAAGAAAAACATTTAAAATATTCTTTAAAGAATAATTGAAAATAATTGCTCATGTCTAAATATCCAAAAAACCACTTACTATTCGTTATTTCTTACTGATGCTACCTTTGCTTTGCTGTCCCGGGACTCTTGCTCAAGAACAACGTGTGCTATTTCAGTTTGGAATTGATGTATAGGATGGAGACATTACATGAAAATTGACATTACCACTATCACATTCTGCCATACATCTGAAATTCAAAATGCACCATTTCTAACTCCAGACTTCATGTCTAACAGAAATGTATAAAACAGAGCAAAGATAGATGCTCTAAGGGATTATGGTAGTTAATTAATCATCTCCTTTGGCAGAGGTTTCACATTCTAAAGCCCTGCCCCTTTATAAAACCAGAACAGGTGAGGAGCATACCATTCTTGTATAACTGGTAGCATGGTAATTGCACAAGGGGAGGGGCTGGGACACGAAGAGCCTCCTGGTGGCTGATCCCTGGCACAGTCCTCAGGTAGATTAATTTGAGAAAAGGCCTCTTGTGCAAGATGAAGATCTGGAAATTTATTTTTATTAAAACCTCTTTGCAATGTATGCTGTAGCAAGGCTGAGTTACTCACGCTCCGTATTACGTGAATGTGTGCCCTGCTCCGCTGTAAAGACTGCTCTTCTACAGAATTTCACTTCTCACGTGTGTACTTCAGTCTGATGGTGAGTGGATGTTTGGGAATTGTCTAAAATCAAGTGTGGATGGAGGAAAAGTCAATCTCTTTCTGACACCTTGTGGCAGCAGCTGAACACTACAAACACAGCTGGTTTGATGTATAATCTCATCACATTCCCAGAGCTCTTCACATTAAATAAAGTGTCCTCTCTCTTTTATTCCCTTATGTGAGATGATCTGTTCAGAAGGAACACAAAATACCCATTACATGTAAACTCTCTGCATATTGAAATTTTCAAGCCTCGGCCTTTCAAAGCCACTTGTACATTTTTAATACATTTGAGATATATAGTACTAAGGAATTTTGGAGAATCCTCTATTGTGTGAGGTGGATTGGCATAGTCCTCTAACTGTATTACTGGGAATAAAATCAGGCCTAAAATCCTTGGAAATTAATAACGTTTGTTGCACTTGAACTTCTTTTGACATTGTGTAAAAAGGGTTGATAGATGTACTCCACTGCCACAGTTGAACTGTAATGCACTTGGAGTAAATAAAAAGGTATCAAATAATTGATTTTTCAAAGAGACCACTAGAAAAGCCTGTTGATTCATACATGAAGTTAAGTTTACTAAACCTAATGCACTCAGGAGAGAACACCCCCTTGGCAAAATCTTAGTTGTGTTTTCACAGTAATTTTGAGGTGGGTCTTGCAAGGAGAGTAACTTTCTGATTGGACAGTTTATGGTATCACAGCTTTGGAACGGTGGACCCAAGGAGGCAAGAGTTTTGAAGCAAGTCTTGATGAGTGAACTATTTAATTGATTCACACAGCCTTCCAGGAATCTTACCTTCTAGGTTATATCTTCCAGGTGTATCCTGAAGCAAGCAGCTACAAGTTTTCCTTGGTCTCAGTATTATTGTGTAACCCAGGGACAGAAAATTATATTGCTTTCTGTTCTCAAGTGTAAGACTTGAAAGGGGTGCTTGGGTGGCTCAGTTGGTTGAGCGTCTGACTTTGGCTCAGGTCATGATCTCGCAGCCTGTGGGTTTAAGCCTCTCACTGGGCTCTGTGCTGACAGCTCAGAGCCTGGAGCCTGCTTTGGATTCTGTGTCTTCCTCTCTCTCTGCCCCCCACCTGCTTATGCTCTGTCTCTGTCTCTCAAAATGAGTAAATGTTTAAAAAAAAAAAAAAAGGCTTGAAATAATTTACATGAATTATTGGTTTGTTTCAGCTTTGCCCGAAGTTTTTACATACAAATTCTACTAGTCACACTTGGCCATTCAGTGCAGTTGCTGAATTAATAGGTATGTAAAATTGACATTTCATGTATAATCTGTTGCTTGTAATTGAGGTTTTAAAAAACTTTTCATTGAAAAATAATATGCAGATGTGCTGTTTAATAAAACAGGTAGATCTTGAATGATATACCATTGGTAAATGTTAATCTAGTATAACAGCTATTCAAATCAATGTCAAATTAATTGCTCCCCAACCTTCCCTGTATTACTATTAAAATAGTTTGCTAAATTCATAAAACATTTATATTGAAAATAGTATAATTCTGATTATAAAAGAAATTGATCTATTGCTAAAATAGGAATTGTGTTTTTTAATAGCTAGAAAGTATATAACAATGGATTTGTTTTTCTGATGTTGGCAAGTAGGGGGATTAATGTTATGTTTGATTTGTGATAATAAGTTCTTGTTTCCTCCAATAGATTGATTGGTTATAGTATTGTATTTTAATAATGTTTTAATGAATATGAGAAAAGAGGCAAGATTGTGATCAGATTTGCATTAGGGGGTCTTGATTTTTTTCCTCTGGAAGATTCATGCATTAGAGTGTTTTCCCTGAAGTGTTTATTTAAAAAGATTATTTGATTTTAATTGTAGGCTGCCTTATAGAAGGATAGTTTGAGAACTATTATTTATGTCTAGTCATAACGATTTCAAAATATACCTCAGAAAGCATTTTTAATCAGGGATATTCAAGTGGAACTTAGTTCAGAAGCTGACGTTATTACTGCTTCTGTTGACATTTTTTTCATTTTTTTTTTTTTTTATGTATTCCTTCCCACTTCCCTATTCTGAGACAAACAAGGATGCTAAACAAGAGTGTTAAGTGGGGATCTGTACAGAGATCATAGAAATGTAAAAGCCACCAGAAACTTTGGTTAGATTGAGAGGGCCACAATTTGAAGAACTGTGTAGAAGGTAAAATTTCATCTGTGTATCCAATTTAGCAGAAGACATCACTGCTTTCCTATTTATTCAGTAACCCTATTGCATTCCCTCTGTGTCAACTTGTAGTGCTAGTTGACACTCAGCTCTCAGTTTCTCACTCACTTGGGCAGATGACCTCCCTGTCTTGATCATCTCATTGGTGCAGTAATTCTTCTCGTTTGTACGTTTTCAGTACAGTCGGTACCAATCTTTGTTCTCTACATAACAGATGGGGGGCTTCGGAAAGAGTTAATTCTGTAATGATCAATGAATCATGTATAGCAAGCTGCAGTTTAGGTTCGTGTTTTCAAGTCTTAGGAGTTCCCTAAACATTTCAGTTTTTTAAAATTTTAATAAATATGTTGCTTGTTAAAGGATTGTCTGAATTAATTGTTCTTTAAAATGCAAAGTCAGAATTTCTCGAAACTTTTGTTTCTCAGATAATGCTTACGATCCCGATGTGAATGCTAAACAGATATGGATTGACAAAACAGTGATAAATGACCATATATGCTTGACATTCACTGATAATGGGAATGGTATGACTTCAGATAAATTACATAAAATGCTAAGGTATGTAAAAATGTCACATTTCTTGAAAGCTTTGCTTTTACCCAGGAGTTTCACGTATCATACTTAATTGCCCGTGGTTTTTGTTCTTTAAACACGACATGTTGTACTCACAGTGCATGTTGTTCTCAAATCTTCTCATCATCTTCTGCTGATTATTAGATAGTCCCTACCATTCTCACCGTCCCCCGCCATGTCTGATTTATCTAAAGTTCCACCATTCCTTCAGGGTGGTAACATTGATATCAGTTATTTATACTTTAGCGTTAATTAGTTTTAACCAGTGTTGCCATTAAATGCCACTTTTAGTGGGGAGTAATATTAAAGGTATTCAGAGGGTAAGGGAGCAAGATAAAATAGTCATAAAGCCTTGGGCTCTAGGGTCATAGAATAGCATGTCAGTATGAAGCCAAATGTGCATGAAAGGGAAACTGAGGTACATAGGCCAGATATACAGAGTAATAAGGCAGCCGAGCCCTTTCCACTGTCCCTCAAATACATGTTCCACTGGATGCCATTAGTAATCATACCACAGTGGGCTTGCTCAGATTCAGGAGATCCTTCACATTTAGAGAAAATTTCATGGGCTGAAATCTCAAGGGTCCCCGGAGCCCCATGAGAACTCAGCTGCCGGGGCAGGGCATGCCAGGCAGCGAGCTCCTCCCGGTTCTGTGTGTCACCCTTGCCCTGCAGTGTGGGTTTGGTTTTCTCCTTTTCAAAGGTGGGGAAACGCCTCAAAATGCAACTAGGAAGGATGAGACTAACATTTATACTCAGCTTTTTTACTTGATATTATAGTTTTTGAAATAAAAAAATGAAGATTATATATTCATATATTTAAAATCCTTTTTGTTTTCTTTTTAGCTTTGGCTTCAGTGACAAAGTCACCATGAATGGTCATGTCCCAGTTGGCTTGTATGGGAATGGCTTCAAGTCAGGTTCTATGCGTTTGGGTAAAGATGCCATCGTATTTACCAAAAATGGAGAAAGCATGAGTGTGGGCTTCTTGTCCCAGACCTACTTGGAAGTCATAAAAGCGGAACACGTTGTTGTCCCAATCGTGGCGTTCAACAAGCACCATATCCTTTTGAATTTGAAGTAGAAACTATGGAGAAACTCGGAAGAAACACTGAGCCATTCCCTCCTTTTGCCCTCCTCCAGATTCTCGTTTTTTCAGTCTCACTTTGCACTGTAGCCCTTGTTCCTGTCCACTGCCTCTCAGCGTCCGCGGCAGCCCCGTGTCCCCTTCTGTCTCCTGTTGGAAGTGTGCCGTGGAAACCGCTGACGCGGGGTGGCTGTGCTCTGTGCTCAGCTCCCTGTAGCTCTCTGTATTCCGGTTGTGTTCTGTCCAATAAGATGTGCGGCCTGCCTGGAAATTTTCCCTAGTGACCAGGAAAAGCAAGGTATCTTTAGGAACATGTCCTCTGTGTCTTGATAAAACACGTTCAGATACTAGGGACTATGAAGTTAGTTAGGAATCGTAATAAACTTGCTCCTACTTCACCTTTCTTGGTGTTCATCTGAACTCAAACTGTAGTTTTAAAACTTAGGTATTAGTTTAGGAAATAGTTTTTTGTTGTGGTGGTGGTTTTGAAGTTTGAGTTTCGATGAAAAATATGTTGTTGGTGTAAGTCTTTAACTTAGGATATACGACAGATGATAAATTTAACAGAATCAAAAGCAAGCCTTGCGGCAATTCTGGAACATTCTCTGTTTTCTACGGAACAGAAATTACTGGCAGAACTTGATGCTATCATGGGTAAGAAGGGGACAAGGATCATCATTTGGAACCTTAGAAGGTAAATGTCGACCTGAGCTAGGGATTACGTGCGTGAGAAGTGAACTGTTGGTGCAAAAATAGTTGTGTTATATTGATCCATGTTTGTACAGAATAGAAATACTTGGGAAGGTACTCATTTTTGGCATAGATAATAATTTGTCTTTTCTAAGAGTGTTTTATAGAGGCCACTTAGGCTTCAATTCGAGGTAATTTCATATTATTAAAACTAAATTTCCTAGCCCTGCGTATTCAGTATCCAGAGAGGCCAATCCTCACTTTCTGTTTTTCTGCCCCTCTCCTCAAAAAGAAAGGAAAAAAAAAAAAAAGAAAGAAATGGGAAGATAATATCTCACCTGACAAGCCCTAGCTTGTGTAAATTAGGAAGAGAAGTCTTTGTCCATGAGTTAAAGCTAAGCATGAGCTTAACAACTGGTGAGAAAAGGTATTTGAGGCCTCCGTTGCTAAAGTTTTGTATCCTTGTGAGGATAAAATCATTTGCAAATAAGGTTTTTTTAAAACTTAGGATGAATATGTTAATGTTGATACGTAGGCACCTAGAATGAATGAATAAAGCACAAATTGGGTGGTAAGCCTGAAATACCTTAATTAAATCTTTCCTGATCTCCTATATTCCCCTTTTTCTTGCTTTTTCTCTCATGCCTCTCGCATCCTTATTCTCCTCTTTTTTTTATTTACACTTTTTATTTTGTATTTAGCTGTACATTCATATGCGTAAATAATAGACCTACTGTACCTTTAGCCAGTGTCCCCTAGTGGCCCCCAGGGTCCCCTAGTGGCCCCCAGCGGCCCTCAGTGGCAGCATCTTGCAAAACTGTAGTGCAGGAGTGTCGATAGAGTCCAGAAACAGGACATTTTCATCACCACAGTGATCTCTCACGTTGGCCTTTTGCATCCACACACACTCCCTCCTTAATCCCTGACAGCTTCTAACACGTTCTCGATTTCTGTAACTTTGTCATTTCAAGAATGTCTTATGAATAGAATCCTACAGTGTGAAACCTGTTGGGATTGACTTTCTTCATTCATCATATTTCTCTGGAGATGCATCTGGGTTCTTGTGTGTGTGTCGGTAGTTTGCTTCCTTTTCCTTGCTGAGTAGTATTGAACTGTATAGACGGACCACTGTGTGTTTAACCATTCACCAGTTAAAGCACATCTGGATTTTTACCATTTGAGGTCATTACAAATAAAGCTATAAACATTTGTATACATGTTTTTGTGGAATGTAATCTTCCTTTTCCTAAGGTAAATGCTCAGGAGTGTGATTGCAGGGTCATATGGTAGTTGCCTGTTTAGTTTTTTAAAATAAAACTGCCAGAATGTTTCTTGGAGTGACTCTTACCATTTGACATTCCCACCAGCAGTGTGTGACTGAATACAGTTTTTCTGCATCTTTCTGGATTCCTGTTCTTTCATTTTTCCCTTGTTTTTGTCTCCTCCCCCCTTCCCCACCCCACCCCCCAACTAGGGACATCTATCGTGGGTAGGTGTTTTGTTAACTAAGTGTATTTGCTTATCTTGCTGTGAAGTTAAAATTTAGCTCCTTCAAAAAACTGTTTTTATAGCTACAAAAGTGCAACAGAGTTCGATTTTGATAAGGATAAATACGACATCAGAATTCCTGAAGATTTAGATGAGACAACAGGGAAGAAAGGGTACAAGAAACAAGAAAGAATGGACCAAATCGCCCCTGAGAGTGACTATTCCCTGAGGGTATGTATTCAGCTCTCTTTCTAGACGTGAAAATCAGCAAATGATGGAAATTACGTTTTCTACTTATGTATAAATGCTGTCAGTGAAAGTATCTCAGAACCAATTTATTTAACTTTTCATGAGCACCCTGTTTGTTGTGTTTGCTCAGAAAACAGTTTTTTAATTTCAGACCCATCAGATCTGATAGCACATGTAGTTCTTTCACTGTGTGGTTACATTATTTGAATTAGGAATACTAGAATCAGTATGTCCTATGATAGCCATATTGACTGATTCAATCAAAACCACCAGATTCAGAGTGTCTCTCTTTTCTTTTAATGTAAAATGTTCTAGAACACACACACACACACACACACACACACACCCCTTAATTCACATTCCAAAGCAATAAATTATGTATAGACTACTGTGTATTAATATAGTTTTGTGATAAATGCCTCTGATATTTGACCTAGAAATGAATATGTTTTTAAGATTGAAGAAATTAATACTTAAACAATAGTGATATAAAAAGAATGTCTTGGGGCACCTGGGTGGCTTAGTCGGTTAAGCATCCGACTTTCGCTTAGGTCATGATCACGCGGTTCATGGGTTCGAGCCCCGCGTCGGGCTCTGCTGACTGCCAGCTCAGAGCCTGGAGCCTATTTCAGAGTCTGTATCTCCCTCACTCTCTGACCCTCCCCTGCTCACGCTGTCTCTCTCTCTCTCCTAAAAATAAATAAAAATATTGAAAAAAAAAAAAAGAATGTCTTATTTAGTCACTGTGAGAAGACACATAATACTAACTTTTCCCTTTACTTTTTGTGCTAAAATTTTTCCACAACCTCAAGCTGAGGATACATTTGAAATTTACAGGTTTACCATGTAACTTCTGGAGATCCTAACAGTTACATTGGAAGATACTTAACTATTCCTTGATATACCCCAAAGCATTATTGAACCATGAAAATCCTGCTCAATTATGAAACAGGTCCAGAGGCCGTCAGTAGATGGTGTGGCTCAGGTCATGATCCCAGGATCCAGCCCTGCATTGGCATGGAGCCTGCTTGGGATTCTCTTTCTTCCTCCCCCTTTCTATCTCAAAAAAAAAAAAAATTGAAAACACATTTAGATTACTGCTGATACAGCTCAATTTTGAAAAAAATACTAAGCTTATTTACTCAGCTTAAGTGTTGGTGTATTATTTATGATATTTTCCTTTTTAAGTGTGTAATAAACTTTTATGTCTTTATTAGATTTTTCTTATTACTTTTGCCTAAATAAAATTGTTACTTTTATTTTTTTTAATTTTTTTAGTTTTTATTTTTGAGAGAGAGACAGAGAGAGGGAGAGTCAGAGAAAGAGGAGGACACAGACTCCAAAACAGGCTCCAATCTCTGAGCTGTCAGCACAGGGCCCGATGTGGGGCTTGAACCCATGAATTGTGAGATCATGACCTGAGCTGAAGTCGGACACTTAACCGACTGAGCCACCCAGGCACCCCAATTTATTATTACTTTTAAAATATAACAGCAATAGGGGCACCTGGATGTCTCAATCAGTTAAATATCCGACTTTGCTCAGGTGGTCATTGCACACTTTGCGATTTGAGCCCCATGTTGGGCTCTGCTGACAGCTCAGAGCCTGGAGCCTGCTTTGGATTCTGTGTCTTCCCCCATTTCTTTCTCTGCCTCTCCCTGCTTGTGCTCTCTCTCTGAAAAATAAATAAACATTAAGAAAGAAAAATTTGAAAAATAATAAATATGACAGCAATAAGGGTGCTTTGGTAGCTCAGTCAGTTAAGCGTCTGACTTCAGCTCAGGTCATGATCTCACGGTTTGTGGGTTTGAGCCTCACGTTGGGCTCTGTGCTGACAGCTCAGAGCTTAGAGCCTGCTTCGAATTCTGTCTCCCTTTCTCTCTCTACCCCTCTCCCGCTCACACTCTCTATCTCAGAAATAAACATTAACAAAAATTAAAATATATAATAATATATATATATTTGACAGAAGAGTCAGAAAACAATAGTACTAGGGTGCCTGGGCGGCTCAGTCGGTTAAGTGTCCGACTTCGGCTCAGGTCATATTCTCACAGTTCGTGGGTTCGAGCCTCACATCAAGTGCTGTGCTGACAACTAACTCAGCCTGGAGCCTGTTTCAGATTCTGTGTCTCCCTCTCTCTCTGACCCTCCCCTGCTCAACGCTGTCTCTCTCTCTCTCTCAGAAATAAATAAAACATTAAGAAAGAAAATAATAGTACCTTTTTTTGTACCTGTGGGCATTTTAAAAAAAATTAAAATGAGATTTTACCACATATGCTATTTTGTAACTTTTTGAAAAGTTTTATTTGTAATTTAACATAACATTTGTATAGGTCAGTAGATTGTTTTCTGCAAACCATTTTTCTGACTATAGTATATTGAGTTTCATTCTTAAAGAACAACCAAATACTAACTAATGACAGCTTTATAGTCTGTATTGTTGAGTTCATGGGTCCTTTATCAAAGCGAGGTCGTAGCTTTCTAAGTACATACATCAGTAATGTTGAACACATTTGTAGGTATTATTTGGAAAAGACAGATGTCATTGTGTTTTTTCAGGCTTACTGCAGCATATTATACCTAAAGCCAAGAATGCAGATAATCTTACGTGGACAGAAAGTGAAGACACAGCTGGTTTCGAAGAGTCTTGCCTACATTGAACGTGATGTTTATCGACCCAAATTTTTAGTATCCTTTTTTTCCCTTGTTACGAAGCTGTATAGAGATACATTAATACAGTGTATTCCTCTTCCCCCTTTCTCCTTTTATCCTGATATGGAATCCTCTCCAACTTGACCCTTTTTTATGCACTTTTGGATTCATTAAAAAATGACTTGGGATGATTTGAAGGGAGTGAGGTGGTATGTTCAGAATTTTCCTTAACATCTAAGACTAAAACAGAAGGGAGCGAGGTGGTATGTTCAGAATTTTCCTTAACATCTAAGACTAAAACAGTGAGAATTACATTTGGATTCAACTGCAGAAATAAAGACCATTATGGGATAATGATGTATCACAGAAATAGACTCATCAAAGCTTATGAGAAAGTTGGATGTCAGTTAAGGGTAAGTTTTATATCTGAAAATAACCTATCTTCCATAAAAGTCAAAATACCATGTTACTGGGTCAGATATGAAGTAATATGTCTTGCCTAATAACTTTTAAGTGTCAGTGTGTTTGATAATGGTGGTATGACACTTGAACTTAGGATACTTATATATTTCCCATTTGGCCCAAATAATCCTATGAGGGGGACAGAATATTTTACCTCTGTTTTACACATGAGGAAATTGGGGCCAATAAGTTAAGTAACTTGCTCCAGACCTAAAATGAGTATGGCTCTTAGGCCCAGATGCAGATCATTTGACTGCATTTGGATGTGGATCCGTGATTATTTCTGGGACGAAATTGGTTAATAGTCCTGACTCAGTAGACAGAAAAACAGGATCATATAGGTGACTTACTTCTCTGGAGTTATTTCCTAAATGTATTAGAGCCGTCCTCCTAAACCACTTCTGTTGTTGTAGAATTCAATTTAGGATGATGAACATTGCCCACCCTATGCTAGTCTGTTCATCCTTAAACAGGTTTTCACAGAAAGGTGTTTTGGGGGTATATGTGTTAAGCATTGAGTGATAAATTCTGAAAATCAAGTTTGTTAAAGGTTTTAAGTCTAGGCGTATTTTGTTTTCCAATTCTATTGTTTTCATTTTCTGTTCATCTTACTTCATTCTAAATTCTTTGTAGACTGTTGTGAGCTCTACACAGTAAAGTAGTGTGGGTTTATCTTGAATATTACTCAGTAAGGATTGTTACATATTTTACATTGATAGAAGCCCAGGATATGACATTTTTGCAAAAGTAAACTTTGTTGGACTTTTCTTGGTAACCATTAATTTTAGTCAAAAAATAAATGCAGACGGGTGCCTGCGTGGCTCCGTCAGTTAAGCATTCAACTCTTGGTTTTGACTCAGGTCATGATCTCATCGTTTGTGGGATTGAGCCCCTTGTTGGGCTCTTTGTTGGGGCCTGCTTGGAATTCTTTCTCTCCCCCTCCTCCCGCTCATGCTGTCTTATTCTCAAAATGAATAAATAAAAACATTAAAAAAATGAGAAGGGGAAAACCAGTTGGGGAGAGGGAGGGAGGCAAACCATGAGAGACTCTTGAATGCTGAGAACAAACTAAGGGCTGATGGGGGTGGGGGAGAGGGGAAGGGGGGTGATGGGCATGGAGGAGGGCACTTGTTGGGATGAGCACTGGGTGTTATATGTAAACCCACTTGACAATAAACTAAGGAAAAAAATACAGAAATCTGGCAACCATGATATGAAGTATCAGTAACTTAGATGAAAAACTAATTTTCATTTATAATCTAACTAGTAATTTTCAACAGAAATATTCTGTAATTAAAGTTACTAAATTTCACTGGTAATTAGAAATTCATTTTTGGTAATAAGCCTTGTTTCTCAAGTGCTTTGGTTTTCCAAAAAAAAAAAAAAAAAGTGTATCTGCAACAGAATGTTAATTATTTTTTTCTTTTATTATTTATGAATCTGACTGAAGTAAGATACGTAGCCCATTTTTCCAACCCAGTTACGTTTGCATTGTGCATAATTTCTGGTTAAAAAATATGTTTTTACAGCCAACTTTTGTTTTACCAGTTGATGGATTTGACAGTAGTATTTGCATTCTTTGATTCAATAAACAGTTATTAAATAGGTGTCAGATATTTGGTATGATTTGGCATGATAGATGATCAGAATGAAAGGATAAGATACAGAGCATCCACTCAGCTCTGTCTGGTGAGGGGAATGTGGTACAAGTCGGAAGCATCAGAAGCAGCTTCTTGGAGAGCGTGGTGATTGAGTCATAGTTGATGTTATTGTGTTGAAAGTCTAGCAGGGGTTTTCCAGGCAGAGAAAAATGTCTGCAAAGGAAGGGACAGAGGCTTCTGAGAATATGACCTCATTAAGGGAGGAGTTTGCTCTGCCTAGGGGCACGTGATAGGAGAGGCAAGAAGACGAGGCCCGAAAGGAGGTGAACAGGACCTACACGTCAAAGGATACTGTGGTTTACTAATCATATGAGATGAACTACTGATGGCTTTGGTAGAGTGGGATTATGGGTAGTTTTGCATGGTTTCTTCTAGAGTTGCTCCGTTCATGAAAATTTTCGCTGTATAAGTTATATATTCTTTTTCCTTTTGTAGACTCAGCTACAATTGTGAGCAAAATACACTTGCTAATCACACATAGGTAATTAGATATATGTGATTCCTGTATTTTGAGTTCAGTGTTTTAGCTAGTAGCATTTTTCGTTTTTACATTTTTTATTTATTTTTGAGAGACAGAATGAGACAGAGCGTGAGCGGGGGAGGGGCAGAGAGAGAAGGAGATACAGAATCCGAAGCAGGCTCCAGGCTCTGAGCAAGCATTCAGCACAGAGCCTGACGCGGGGCTCGAACCCATCAACTGTGAGATCATGACCTGAGGTGAAGTCAGACGCTTAACCGACTGAGCCACCCAGGCGCCCCAGCTAGTAGCATTTTTAAAATAACTTGAATTCAGTTGGCCTAGGTTTTTATTCCATCACCATTAACAACTAGATGTGTAACTTTGGATAAATGATTTTAATTTTTATCTAGTAAACTTTTGGCATATTATTGCTAGAGTCTTTGCTACTCACTGTGGATATAGAAAGGCGTTACTTGTGGTTTCTGCTATATAAGAAATACATCCCATTAGAGGTCTTTTTCTCTTGGATAAAATTGGGGATGGCAATACTTGTCTAAATGGATATTTGACAACAGTGGAAGTGGTTTTGGGGGAAGGCTCTAATATATTTGGGAATTAACTTCTAGAAAAGTAAAATTATCTATGAGACCCTATTTTTCAATTGAGATTTTCTAAGAATCATAACATAAAATATAGAAAAATGTTGATACAAATTGTAAATCTTTGCGGAAGGGTAATTATGTTGAGCATTGTATCTTATGCTTAAAAGACTGATTTCATTTTCTTTTTCAGGCAAACAACATGGGTGTTGGAGTGGTGGGAATTATAGAGTGTAATTTCTTAAAGCCAACTCATAATAAACAAGATTTTGACTATACTAATGAGTACAGGTATGTTACCTATTTAATATTTAAGTTACTGGCTTCTTACAGTTTTAGAAATACTTTCCTAACTTTTCCTAAGCTGAAATTTTTTTTCTGTCTTGTGGATGTTTTTCTAGCATAGAACTTTAAGAAGATCGGTAGGTGAGAGGCTTGCATAGAAAACACATTTAACCATCTTCACCCATCCTAGAAATTGTATTCTACTCCATCACAAGTAGAAATACATTCTCTCTTGTCTTCATTGATGAAGTGTTTCTGAGATTTGTGGAAAATATGGAGGGTTGTGCTTGCTTACTTGGTGTCAATATTTACTGTGTAATATCCTGACACTTTGTGCTTATTTGATGGGAACTTTAAGGTATTTAGTCCTATGAACCTTAGACAGAAATACTCCTATCTTTTAAGTGTGGTTAGAAGCCTTAGGATGAAAATGACCATCAATGTGACTTAGAAATTTAGGAAGTGCAGTTTTCCTACTGAGCATATATGATGGAGTAGAATGTAAACATAGGAACATTTGTGATAAAAACAAAGATAATGCAATACGCCTTTTCTTCAAATGACAAATAAAATAAAAGTGGAAGAAAGAAAATTATAATAAAGATGAGAGCAAAATCAGTGAAGTAGGACACACATATACAGAAAATCAATATATATTCAGAGTTCACTCCTGAGGCAGAGCCTACTCGTATGAATGGGGATAATTTAATATAAGGAATTATTAACTAAGATAGTAGAGGGTGATTACTAGAAGGGGTAAAAGAGGACAGTAGGTATCCAGAACTAGCAAATATGAAAGACAGTTACCTCGAGATTGAAAAAGAGTAGACAATAAAGGAAGTAGCACAGCCCCCCCTCGCCCCCCGCCAAGTTAGAGATTCAGGCAAACACAGGAACAAGCCACCGGCTGTGTTAAGAAACTTGACAGAAGGCCTGGCCAAGTGCTGGTCTGTAGATGTGACCCACTGTTGCCAGAGGCTGTGGATGCGCTGAGCTGTTCTGTAGAGGAGACCTGCCTTTGCCGAGGACGTGGGCACGCTGGAGCTACTCTCTGTTGCTGGAGGTCATGGGCCGCTGGAGCTCCTCCGGGGGGCTGCCGGGCTCCAAACAGTATTAACCAGAACATACCAGAGCCTGAGGGACATGTGTCTTGCTATCACCTAGCAAGTTCATTGCCCTTGTAATCCAGCTTAACATTTTTCTGGCTGCCAAAGGATAAATGTTTACACGATCAAGCTTTAGAATCACATATCTGAGCAAAGAACACTGGATTTGAAGCTGAGAGACAAGAAGTTCATAACTAAAAAAAATCAAAAAGCCCAAAGTTTGTTCTCTGATAAGAGTAGTAAAATCTATACGCATCTGGCAATAAAAGGAGAAAATAGAAATCATCACTATTAGAAATGAAAAGGAGGACATTACTACAGCTCTGTGGACACAAAACCATCAAAGGAATAGTATGAACAATTTCTTACCATCTTAGATGAATCCGGCACATTCCTTTGAAATTGAATCAATTTTTAGAAAACTTCCCACGTATTCTGAGGGCGCATAATTTTGTTAGTCAATTTGTGAATACGATACAACAAAGGAAATTTGTGTCAATTTTTCTCATGATTAAGATATAAAAATATTTAAATAATAGCAAATACCATCCAGTGATCAATAAGAAGAATAATTAATACATTAAAACTAGTTGGAGTATATTCCAAGATAACATGGGTAGTTTTAATATTCCAAAATCAATGTAGTTCATCACATTGATGTTAGAAAAGAAAAATCTCAGGTTATTTTCATAGGTAGGAAAAAGCACTTGGATGAATCACAGCACACGTTTGTAATTGAGGGACACTTACAAAATCATTAATGGAAGGGCATAGTAGCAATACAGAGCATGTGCACAGAACACCAAGCATCATTCCTACTGGTGAATTATTGATAGCTTTCCTCTGAAGGGTGAAGACGAGGTAAGGATATCCGCTATCCTCCATTCCTGAATAATAAGGAAAGAAAAAGAAGTGAAAGTTGTAAGGGTTGGAAAGGGAAAAATAAAACTTTTCTGTACAAGATAGTATTAAGTATATAGAAAGTCCAAAATAATCTGCAGATTTAGAACTAATAAAGGAACAAGTAGTATATATTCTAGGGTTACTGGATACGAAGTATTCAGAAATCAATTGTATTTCTGTTCACCAATGACTAAAAACCAGAACATGAAATTTTAAAGAAGTCATAATAGTGTCAAAAATTCAAATACTTTAGGATAAATAAAATATGCAGTATATACATTGAAAACTATGAAATATTGTGGAGTAAAATTTAAGCCCTAAATAAGTAGGTATACCAAGTTCAAGAGTTGGAAGGCTGAACATAATAAAATGTCAGTTTTTTTCCAATATAATTAAATATAATTCCAGTTTTTTAAAAATAATCCCTGCCAGTGTGTGTGGGTATATATATTAATAGGCTTATTCTAAACTTTATGTAGAAAGTCAGAAGACCAGAGATACTTAAGACAGTCATTAAAGAACAACAAAGCAAGAAAACTTAATACTATTAAATACCAGCACTTATGAAGCTGCATTAACCAAGTGTGGTATTAATGAAAGGATAAACAGTCTAGTGAAATGGAGAAGCCAAAAATACCCCTCCCCCCACTTTGTATATATTTGTGACCTGATTTGTGACAAAGATCACATCATAGCGTAGTGGGAAAATGATCATCTTTCCAAAAATGCTGTGTCAACTGGCAATTTCTATGGGTAACATGGCTGTGATCCCAAATGTAGCAAGAAAATTGATAGCAGATGGATTTTAGACCTAAATGAGAAAGACAAAAACAAACTGGAAACAGAAATTTTCAAAACCAGTAGTGAGCAGGTTTTTAAAACAAGATGCAAAAAGTATTGATCATGATGGGCAGAAATGGAAAAATTATTTAAAATGAGTGAGAGTATAGGGCAGTTGGTGCTCCTGTCATTGCCAGTGGGTATGGGAATTGATCAGTTTTGAGAACTGTTAGATTATCAAGTAAAGCCAGACGTCAACGCGTGCCCCTATGGCCCTGCAGCTCTGCTCCTCAGTATATTTTCAGCAGAAATGGGTGCAGTCTCCTAGACTAAGAAATAGAGGTGTTGAGAAAGAGATGAAGAAGGATTGAAAACGTGAAATGCAGGGAGGGGATGTATCGGGGAGGGAGGATTCATTCTCATTTGAATGCTTACATGTTATGTAATCGCAGAGGAAAATTTTGTGAGAGATAATGGGTAGGTATAGAAATGTCTGGGGGCGCCTGGGTGGCTTAGTCGGTTAAGCGTCCGACTTTCGCTTAGGTCATGATCTCGCAGTTCGTGGGTTCGAGCCCCGCATCGGGCTCTGTGCTGACTGCCAGCTCAGAGCCTGGAGCCTGTTTCAGTCTGTGACTCCCTCTCTCTCTGACCCTCCCCTGCTCACGCTGTCTCTCTCTCTCTCCTAGAAATAAATAAAACATTAAAAAAAATTAAAAAAAAAAAAAAAAGAAATGTCTGATTCAGGGGTGCCTGAGTGGCTTAGTCGGTTAAGCCTCCGACTTTCACTTAGGTCATGATCTCGCGGTTCGTGGGTTCGAGCCCCGCGTCGGGCTCTGAGCTGACTGCCAGCTCAGAGCCTGGAGCCTGTTTCAGTCTGTGACTCCCTCTGTCTCTGACCCTCCCCTGCTCACGCTGTCTCTCTCTCTCTCCTAGAAATAAATAAAACATTAAAAAAAATTAAAAAAAAAAAAAAAGAAATGTCTGATTCAGTCTGCCCGTGTAGAATTTGAAATCTTGATATTTGAAGGCTTTATTTTAAATTTAGAATGTTACACTGACTGTATCTTGTGTGTGAGTAGTTCTGGCACAGTAGGTGCTGAGCTCAGGTGATTGCTTAATCAGGGTGGCCTTAGAGTTCTTTATCTCAGTAGATCCCATTAGTTTGCTTTTTATTAACGTCTTTTTGGGGAAGAACTGACGGTCTTAATAGTGGGACAAGCTATTTTGAAGTACGCTTGCTGGTAACAATTGCATACTTTTATTCTAACTTGAAGCTTATGTTGGTTGGGGCTGGATTCAGAGCCTGTGATTTCCCACTAGGTGGTCTGCGGCATACTTTCTCAACAGAGGACACAAAGTATTACTATTTATGTCTTCAAAGATGGTCCTGGCTCTGCTCTAGGAACTTTAAAAAACTTTTTTTAATGTTTCTTTATTTTTGAGAAAGCAAGCGAGGGAGGGGCAGAGAGAGGGAGACACAGAATCCAAAGCAGGCTCCAGGCTCTGAGCTGTCAGCATGGAGCCTGACATGGGGCTTAAACCCACGGACTGTGCAATCATGACCTGAGCCGAAGTTGGACGCTTAACCGACTGAGCCACCCAGGCACCCCTCTAGGAACTTCTTAATGTCCTTAAAGAAAATAGCCACAAGCCCATTGTTTGCTAACTGTACAGTTGGGCGGCGTCATCCCTCCTCCCCCATAGTGTCCACACGATCTCCCCTAGGTTGGTTGTGCTTTCTCTGTGTTTGACAAAGATTTAATCTTTACCTTTGTTTTTTCTTAAATTGATTTTATGATTTTCTTTCTTAAGGCTGACAATTGCAGCGCTAGGAGAAAAGCTGAATGATTACTGGAATGAAATGAAAGTCAAGAAGAATTCAGAATATCCTCTGAATTTGCCAGTTGAAGATATTCAGTACGTACATGAAAACATATCAACCATTCTAATATCAAGATGTGATATGGGGAGGGGATATTGACTGTACAGTGTTCACAGACTTTTGACTCACCCATAGTCCGATGTAAATTCTACAACTCCAGTCAGCACACTATGAAATGAACCAATGAATATATACATTTATCCATCATACACACAAAAGATTCATGAAATAATATTTACCCAAATGTTGCATGCTGATACTTATTTTAAAAATGCAAGTCTTGACCCATTATGTTGATTTCATGATCCACTAATGGGTTGTATCTCATAGTTTGAAAAACCCTCATCTTGTGTAATAGTTAGGATGAGGAGTCTAAAGCCAGACCTGAAATTCGATTCTAATTCTGTTGAAATAATGATGTGACATTGAACATATTACTTGACCTCTTTCAAGCTTATTTTTCACTTGCAAAATGGGAACATTAGTAACATTCACCTCCCAGAGTTATAAAACTTAAAAATATGCCAGATAAGTGTTCAGTAACACAGGTGGCACACAGTACCAGTTCTATTTATGAATAATAACTGTACTGATGGAAAGATGACCAAGATGTATAATGAAGAACGAAGAAATGCAATTCAGTGTATTAATTTCCCATTTTATTATTTTTAATGTGTGCATATACACAAGCAGAGTTCTTTAAGCATAGAAGATTCTGCCAGGGTTTAAAAAATGAACAGTGGTAGGTTCCTGAAACCAAGGGGCTTGTATTTACTTTATAAACTTCTGGGTTATTTGAATTTTATCTAATTATAAATGCATTTTTAAAATGTTGACAGAGGGCCATCTGGCTGGCTCAGTCAGAAGAGTATGCAACTCTTGGTCTTGGGGTTGTAAGTTCAAGCCCCATGTGGGGTATAGAGATGACTTAAATAAAATTTTAAAAACAAATAAATAAAAAGTTATTGGCATTAAGGTGAAGTCTTCATTTTTTTAATTTAAAAAATATTATTGTTATTTTTGAAATGTTTGTTTATTTTTGAGAGAGAGACTGTAAGAGGGAGAGGAGCAGAGAGGGAGACAGAGGATCCCAAGCAGGCTTCCTGCTGATAGCACAGAGCCTGATTTGAGGCTTGAGCCCACAAATCGTGAGATCACAACCTGAACCAAAATCAAGGGTTGGATGCTTAACCAGACTGAGCCACCCAGGTGCCCCAGTCTTCATAGATTAAATGAATTGTTAATAAGTGATTGTTAAATGAAATGTTAAATGACTACTTACTTTAGTCATAGGATCACTGTAATTTTCAAATGATAAAATATGAAGCATTTTATAAACTAAAAAAATATACACATTTTAGGTATTCAGAGATATGCTATAGTAGAGGCTAAAAATGTAATATGATTATTAAAAATTGCTTAAGTTATAGTAATAGCTTGTCTATTTTCTGTATTTGAGTATTTTATTGTGCTAATAAATAAACCAGATTGGACACTGCAAATGCTAACTTAATGTAAATTTCAAAACAAGTTGTTTGGAATATTTTAAATTGTTTGAGTTTTTATTACCGGAGAACAAATTGAATAGTATGCTATTAAATAGGACATTTATATCTCTTTTTTTTAACGTTTATTTTTGAGAGAGAAAGAGTGTGTGTGTGTGTGTGTGTGTGCACGTGCGTGCGTGCGCGCGTGTGTGCACGCGCTATTTGTGAAGGCTAGCGGGGAGGGGCAAAGAGAGAGGGAGATGAGGATCCAGAGCAGGCTGTGTGCTGACAGCAGAGAGCCTGATGCAGGGCTCAAACTCAGTAGCTGTGAGGTCATGAACTGTGCTGAGGTTGAATGTTCAACCCAGTGAGCCAGGCAGGCACCCCACTCTCTTTGTTTAAATTCCTGTTAGCTTTTTTTTTTTTTTTTTTTGAAGGTAATGAAAATTGTTGGTTTAAAAACTTTAATTTTCTGTACGACAATAATTAATTATGTCACAGACCTTTCAGGCACAAATCAAACGATCAAGGCATTTTGTGGTGGAAATGATGTAGACAATCTAATGAAGTGTACTTAGCATCCATATTTTCATGCTAACATTATGTTTTGTTACAGGAAACGTCCTGATCAGACATGGGTTCAATGTGATTCCTGTCTAAAGTGGCGAAAATTACCAGATGGAATAGATCAACTTCCAGAAAAATGGTATTGCTCCAATAACCCTGACCCACAGTTCAGGTACCATATAGTTGGTAGTACCCTTTTTGGAAAGGCAGAAAGTACTATTCAAGATGTATGAATAGGCGCTGGTGACGTGTTATTCCCATGTGATTTTTCTGACTAGAAATTGTGATGTTCCAGAAGAACCCGAAGATGAAGATGTGGTGCATCCTACTTATGAAAAAACCTACAAAAAGAAGTGAGTGTTGTACTAATGTCCGGTGGGGAGGTAATGCCCACATTAGTATCAGCGATGGGTCTGCGACATTAGTTGAGGCTTCTCCAAGATCATGTTAGTACAACCCGAAAAAGATTATGACCCTGAAAAGACTTTGTTGTGGATGCATAATATTGGGTGCTTTATTGGTTTGTTTTTTTAACATGATAGTGTGGATATCTGCTCTTTTTTCGCCTGCCTATTTATTGCTGTCCTGTCTACAAGATAGTTTGCATGCAAAATAGTTTGTCTTTTAGGGACCACACCCAGATGAGTCATAAATGAGTACATAAATGAGTACTGTAAAAAGCTTAAAGCCTTAATAGGGAAGGTGAGGCATGTACATATGACCAATGGGAAGTTCATGAGTGTCATAAAAGGCACAATCCAGTCCTGTTGGGAAGCCTGTAATGAGAGATGACTTCTGGCTGGGGATGGGAAGGGAAACCCAGATGAGGAAAATTCAAGGAGGAGATCTGTATAATATATCTTGAAGGACAGGTAGGATGAGAATGTATAGGAAACAGTGATTCATTTGGCTTTAACTAAATACGTGAATGGGCACAATGGAAAATAGGTAATGAAATGGGTAATGAATGACAGCCCTGGTGAACTTCCAGCTAGTGTACTGCATGCAGAGGCTGAGTTCATGCAGAACTTCCAGGTGGTTTTGATCTAGAGGGCACTGTTTCCGAGGGTAAATCCAGCAGCAGAATTGGGAGTAAAGAAGCCACTTAGAAGCCAATGTGGTGGTCCCACTCAAAGGTCAGAATTATGCTGGTCAGGATGGAGAACTTGAGGCAGACATTGGGGTGTTATGGAGATAAGAGGTGGAAAAGTATTTCCTGCCTGAGGGCTTGCCACTGATTATAATGAAATTGAAGCAAAGTTCAGTGTACTTACCTGAGTGACACTGTGAAATGGCAAGTGTCAGTGGGAAACAGAATTGAAAAATAATAAATTACATATGTTCACTTTTCATCTTTTTTTTTAAGAGACAAGGAAAAATTCAGGATCCGACAACCAGAAGTGATCCCTCGGGTAATGAATTAAGCCTTCCATTTTATAGCTGTGCCTTATATTGGGTAGTGGTTAGTTTAACAGATAGTGAGTTTGAAAGCTCGCTATTAAAGCTATTATACAGCAAATTGAAATGATTGTGTTCATTCAGTTCACACACTCCTTTTCTCATACCCCTCCTTGCCCTCCTTCCTAACCCAACAACTTCATTCAAACTGTTCAGTTTTGTTATTTTGTTGGACATCTTCTGAGGAAAGGCAGGCCGTTAAGAATCTTCTGTTCCACAGGAGAAACTTAACAGAGGACCATGGGGGAGGGGAAGGGGAAAAAATAGTTGGGGAGAGGGAGGGAGGCAAACCATGAGAGACTTGAATGCTGAGAACAAACGGAGGGCTGATACGGGTGGGGGAGAGGGGAGATGGGCATGGAGGGGGGCACTTGTGGGGATGAGCACTGGGTGCTATATGGAAACCAACTTGACAATAAACTATAAAAGAAAACAAAAAAAGAATCTTCTGTTCCAGAGGCCCGCAGGGAAACTTCACAGGAACCCCTGGGGAGCCATGTTCTAGTACTCACCTGGAACACTAGTGTTTTTCTTTCTCTTCGTTCAGCACTCTTTCTGGCCCTTCTATTCCTTTGTCAGTGCTAAACGGTAGTGACGAGTGTTTTCCGAGTCTGTGGGTAGAGCGCTGTGCTTCTTGTGTAAGAGGCTGCTCCAGATTTGTATGTTTGCTTTTAATTGCATTGAAACATTTTCTCATGGAAAGGATGAGGGTTTGGAGGTGAGAACAGAACTAGGCGAAAAGAATAGTGGGCTTACTTATTCTGAAGGCAGTATTTTTGACTTTATTTTCAGTTTATTTCTCTTAGAAAACCGAATTTTCCATTGTATCTTGGCAAGTCCTATATTAGTACAGGGTCAGCAAATCTTGGTGTAAGAGCCCAGATAGTAAATATTTTAGGCTTTGTGGGCCACATACAGTCTCTGTTGTATATTCTTTGTTTTGCTCACACCTTTAAAAATGCAAAACCGTTCTTCACCTGGATTTGGCTTTCTGGCCTGTTTGTTGCTCCCTGGTGTGGCTTAAAGAATTTACATGGTTAGGATGGTTCTCAATGTTTTCTTGGAGAAGGGGAGAAGGGAAAATAGTATCTCGTGTTTTGGGTCTGCCACGTTAAAAAAGGCCTTTAAGATCACCTTTTTTTTCATTCCAACAGATTAATGCTGAACTCTTGTTTCGGACACCCACCGTGTCAAGTCAGAGCTTTACTTCCGTGAAGGAAACTGTTCCAAGAGGCCATCTTTCAGAAGTGGCAAATACGTATGCAACAAGACTTCTAAATAACCATCGAGGTTCACCCCAGTCTGAACCCGAGAGCAACAAGTCAGTGGCTAAAATGTGTTTTTCCACTTGGGGAATAAATACTAAGAGCCTTTACTTGACAGCTGTGTGGCAGTTATGCCCTTCTGAGAAGCTGCAGTCCGTGCATATAAGAAGTCTTAGAGGGACAAGTTAATTTGCTCTTATTGTCTCAGCTTACCCCCACTCCCCTTATGCCACCTATTTAAATGATTTTTAAAATATCAGTTGTATTCATTGTGCAGTTTGGTCGAATTTTCACCTCTTTGAAATTCTATATAGTATGAAAATTCCTCGTTTTAGAATTACCAGTATTTAAGAAAAACACGAAGCAGTTAATAGTATGACACTGTAATGTCAGGTGTGACCCATAAGTTCTGAGCTCATGGCAAGCTGTGTGTTTTGGATGAGTGGATGGAGAGGGAGAGGGAAAGAAAGGTATGAGTGATACGTAAATTGAACAGTTAGGTCTCTTGACTGGAATAGTCAAGAAAGGCTTTGTGATAAGATAGTGCTTGGTTGGGTTCCTGAAATTCTAAAAGCAGCACTCTGTGCAGGTGGCCTGTTCAGAGGGAATAGAATGAACACAGGTGAAGAAGAAAATATGTTGCCAGCAAACTCGGCATCAGACTGACTACACTTGGTCTTTTGTTGGAAAACCAACACTGAAATGAGGTTCTCTGAGATAGTGGGATGCAGTTTTCCGAGAGGTTTTATAAAAGCCTTCATTAAATCCTCAGAGGGGTTTTTGACCTCCAGAAGGATTAGAAATAACTGCCTTTATGCGTATATACGTCAGGAGGGCATGTTCTAAAATAGTTTGCTGTTTGCCGCCTACATTTTAGAGGCTTGTTTGGGGGCTGGGTTGCTATTTAACTAAGAACTTGTGTGAAAAAAAAATTTTATTTAACTAGTCTCCTTAATATTCTTGGCTTTTCTTCTTAAAGATGGCTCCAAACAAAGTAAGAAAAAATGAAATCTGTAAAGTTTATAGACAAAAGATAATGGAATTTATTCTTTAAAGTGATTTATTCCATCCAAGTAGAAGAAGAGAATAGAAATTTTTCATGAATTTTAAAGCCTGAAGAATTTGAAACTTGACCTTGAGAAAAATAGAAGCTTTAAGAATAAAGCCGAAGACTGTGGAAAGGTGGTACCTAAACATGAGTCTTAAGAAAGATAAATAGCAGTTAGCCTGGAAGGAAAAATAGGAGGGCAGCTCCCAGTTAAATGATTAACTCCGTGGAAGCCCAGGCGTGCTCCAGACTCGGAAGCACGGGTGAGTACAGGAGGCTTAGCTGAGAGTTTAAGGAATACTAGTTCTCTAGACCTCTTCACAACCTGCCAAGTCTGGTGACGTGGCTTCTTTGTCAGAAGGCAAGAGATTTTCTTTCTGGGGCAGTTTCACTGCTGAAGGTGTGGGGAGCCACTGTTCTGAAACAGGAGGGGTAAGGGACCGTTTGAATACTAAATGGTAGGAAGTCCCCTTCCTTCTTCCCCTCATCGGGCTCCCAGGAGGAAAGCCCTGGACGGTGGGGAGAGTTTGAGCACCCTTGGAATCACAGGGCTAGTAGCCCTCACTGCTTCTAGTCAGCCTCACTCTGAAACATAAAGGTAGGCAGAGATCACCACATGCACCAACTCAAACAAAGGGAGTAGTAGAAACCTTTGGAATTTACTGGGAGGTGGGTAGGTATTGAAAAAACACATTCTTAGAAAAGATAAGTGGTGGGGGGAGGGGGTAGAAAAAGGAAAAGACAAGATTCAGGAGAGCCAATATCTCAAGGGAATTTCAGACTGGGAAATTGGAGAAAACAAAGGGGAGGAAGTAGTATGAGATTTAACTTCCACCAAATACACAGCGAAAATGTCTAGAAGAAGATCCATTCTGGGGCATCTGAGTCGCTCAGTCGGTTAAGCGTCCAACTTTGGCTCGGGTCATGATCTCACAATTCATGAGTTTGAGCCCCACAATGGGCTCTGTGCTGATAGCGTGGAGCCTAGAGCCTGCTTCGGGTTGTGTCTGCCGCTCCCCTGCTCATGCTGTGTCTCTGTCTCTCAAAAATGAATAAACATAAAAGAAAAAAGAAAGAAAAAGATCCATTCTAAGAAACATCATGAAATTTTAGAACACAAGGGGACATAATTTTCTTCAGGAGGGGGTTAATATAAGTTACCTGCTAAAAGATCAGGAATCAGAATGGTAGGAACACTGGATGGTACATGATCACGGAATGCTGCTTTATAAAAACCAAGCCGGCAGTAAAATTGAGAATTAATAAAGATACTTTTCATTATGTGAAGTTTTACATTTTTTATGTCCTGCGTACCCTTTCTCAAGATTTTATTGGCGATTCTGCCCCCTTGATATGAGAGAATAAACCTGAGCGAAAGAAAAACCTTGAGATGGAGAAATACGAGGGCTAACACATAGGACCCAAACAACAGACCAGTACAGGGGTACACGTATCACTAACGGGGCAAAAGATAGTCGGAGGTAAATTCACAGAACACTAAGCTGATGAGGAAAAGGAGGTGATTTTTAATGCAGGGAAAATGGAAGGATAGGCTCGTTTAGTTGGCGTGGCTCACCTCTGATCACCGAACACTGAGAAAATTTACGATGAGTGAACAGGAAAGGTGCAGAGCTGAGCGCTTGCTCGAATACAGAGAACAGACCTGGGTGGGTCGTGGGGTTCCGTTTGGGGTGTGTATACGTTGAAATGCCCAGAGACATCAGATGGAGGGATATTTGGCAGTATGTAGAGCTGGTGCTTTGAAGTCAACCTCAGTATGTCTACTTGTTTCCTCCGCTGTCCAAGGAGAAAATCCTCTCTGCTTCATCGTATCATTGAGGAGTACTGTGTAGTCACTTTGTTCCATGAGCATGGACATTTCTTAATATTTTAAGATCGTTGGATTGCTTCAAAGTCATCTGTTTGGTCCATTTCTATATTGTATAGTCTTATGTTTTACATCTAAAATGTTTTGCAGCCTGAAACGGAGATTTTCTACTCGTTCGTCAATTCTGAATTCAAAGACTCGGAGATTGAGTAATCAGGCATTTGAAAATTCAGCCTATAAAGATGATGATGATGAAGATGTCATCATCTTGGAAGAAAACAGCACTCCCAAACCTGCGGTGGATCATGATATTGAAGTGAAGTCAGAACAGAGTCCCATGGAGCACAGCAGCCTGCAGGCGGAGCCGGTGGCTGAGAAGGAAATCTGTGGCCAGACCAGCTCCGCAGGCGCCTCGTCCTCCCGATGTGATCAGGGAACTGCCGCGGCCACCCAGACCGAAGTCCCAGGTGTGGTTGTTAAAAAAGAAGAGACGCTCGAAGATGACATCGACGCAAGGAATGATACGGCTGTGCTGCCATCCTGTGTAGAAGCTGAAGCAAAGACACAGGACACCCAGGAAACCTTTGATAAATCTGTAGCTGATGCTAGTTGCCAGTTAAATGAACTGAGAAATGAGCTGCTTCTAGTGACCCAAGAAAAAGAAAATTACAAGAGACAGTGTAATGTGTTCACTGACCAAATCAAAGGGTTACAGCAGAGGATACTGGAACTGAACGACAAATACGTGAAGAAGGAAATGTGCCATCAGTCTACCGAAACTGACGCTGTATTTTTACTTGAAAGTATTAATGGCAAATCTGAAGGTCCGGACCACGTGGTGTCTCAGTATCGGCAAGCTCTGGAAGAAATAGAAAGGCTGAAGAAACAGTGCAGCGCTTTGCAGCACGTCAAGGCCGAGTGCAGTCAGTGTTCCAGTAGTGAGAGCAAAAGTGAAGTGGACGAAATGGTTGTGCAGCTGGATGACGTGTTCAGACAGCTGGACAAGTGCACTGCGGAGAGGGACCAGTATAGAAGTGAGGTGAGTGTGTCAGCGCCCTGAGAGTCCGGTGAGTCCCAGGGATCTAAAGCACAGAACTGCCAGTTGCTAGAGTGGAATAGATTACATAATACTATTTCTGTTTATGGACTCTCTGCTACCCCATTGCTGCTCGACTGCGGGGGGTGGCGGGTGGTCCTCCTGGGGGCATATGAAAATGTGTGTTGATGAGATGGGCATTACTGGAATTTAATGGGTTGTGACTAGGTATGGTAAATTTACTGTAGGGTACTGGAAGTTTCTATATAATGAAGGATTGTCTGCTCAAAATCCCATTGTTGTTCCCAGTGAGGCACTCAGTATGGGGAACTTCACATCCGTTATTCGTAGGCCTTGCAAAAACCACACAAGGTGGATGAGGTCCTCGTTCCATAGATGCGCCCTGTGTTAGTTACCACTGGGTCTGCCAGCAGGTGACCACACAGGCCTCAGAGACAACAGGCTCCTATGTTACTGCTTCGCTTCTTGACGTGCACTCATGGTCAGAGGGGGCCCTCCAGGTCCAGTCCTCATGTATCTACATTCCAAGCAGCAGGACAGAGGAGGGGTGCGGTCCCGAAAGTTGCTTATATTCCACCTGTCAGAACGTAGTCCCCTGGCTAATGGGTGCCTTGGATCTGTAGTCCTTATGCAGGGGTTCTCTTACTGAGGGAGAAGGGGAAAAATGGTAGATATCGGGACAAGTTGTAGCCTCTGTGTATACTCTCCATTTCAAATTTGGGTCACTCCTTCTAAAAACAACTGTTTTATGTATTCTGTGAATGTGGTATTTGAAAGAAGGGTTTTTCTGCTAAGATTTTGGGGAGAGCAGTGTGGTGTGTGCTGCCACCTCTTCCTGGAAAGAATGCTGACATAACAGCTGATCTGAACATTCATCTTGATGTATTGGCTCGGAGCCAGATGACAGAATATATAAAAATTAGTATAAGCTTTCTGTCATAACTTCCAGCTGGTGAGTGTGTGCAAGAGCGGAGAGCCACTTCAGTATTGTTTCCGTGTGACAAGATGTCGAGGGGACACTAAACGAAGGAAGCTCCCCCTCCCCACATGGGTTTTTTGCCCTTTTTTGATGGTAATTTTCATCACTCAGGTTTTCTGCATGTCTTAGCTTAAATTTGCTCTTTGGCATTAGTAGTTTTAAATTTTACACTTAACAAAATTATTTTTTTGTCAGGTTGAATTATTGGAAATGGAAAAATCACAAATGCGTTCACAATTTGAAGAACTGAAAATTGAAATCGAACAATTAAAATCCACAAATCAACAATTAGGAGCAGATGTTTCAACTTCAAGTAACATTGAGGAGTCTGTAAATTGTACTGATGGGGAAAGGTAATAGTACACCAGGCATTTCTCTGGGGTGGCCTGGGTTAGTGTGGGGTTTATTTGCTAGCACACATCAGACAGATACCATTCAATCAAAAGAAGTACAGGTCCTCATCCTTTCCTTCTAGAAAAGAACAGTTGAAGTTCAACTTAAGTAAATGGGAGTTTGAAAGGAATAAGGCACAGTGATTAGAATGCTGTTTGGGGAAAAGTGGAGATTGAGTAAGATATCACAGAAGGGGGTGAAATTGGCCATGACTAAGACACAAGGGACTATTTCATGAAACTTACTTTTTCACCCGGATTTCTTTTACTTTTGTACTTGGCACCATTTCTTTATGGTTTGCAGTCTTTTTTTTTTTTTTTTTTTAATATTTTTTTAATGTTTTTTATTTATTTCTAGGAGAGAGAGAGAGAGAGACAGCACGAGCAGGGGAGGGTCAGAGAGAGAGGGAGTCACAGACTGAAACAGGCTCCAGGCTCTGAGCTGGCAGTCAGCACAGAGCCCGACGCAGGGCTCGAACCCACGAACTGCGAGATCATGACCTAAGCGAAAGTCGGATGCTCAACCGACTAAGCCACCCAGGCGCCCCTATGGTTTGCAGTCTTCATTTGCACTGCACTCTATGCCCTCCCCAATCTTAACTTTTAGGTAATCACAAAATTATTAAAAATTGCCACAATACAGGTGGTTATTAGGAAGAAGTTCTTCTGTGAAAGTAAGAAAATAGTAAATGCACGGTTATCCTATCAGTAAGATATAAAATGGGCTTGGTGTTTTGTTTCGGCGTTGAGAGGCGGAGGCAGCCGGTCTGGTGGGGAGGGTGCTGGTGCTGGGCGTGTGTTGATGACTCAGCATCTGCAAGTAGCCAGTAAGGGCCAGAACTGGGCAGCTCCTCTTGCTAATTGTGTGACTGCCAACCGAAAAGGCACTGTTGAGAAATAATCTGCTGCCATCCTCTCTTGACATCAGTTATATTAGTGCCTTGTTTTTTTAACTTAAGCTTTTGAAGGATTTTAGTAAATCTGTTCCTAGAAATGGAGCAGAACAGTACAGAAAAGCCTGGAGGGCTAAGGCTCAGAAGTGATGTTTCTCAAAATGGGAACGCCAAGCCTCTGTGGTGCTTGTAGAAATGCTTGGACTGCAGTGTAGTTTATATTAAATTGGAAACTTTTTTTTTAATGTTTATTTTTCCAGAGAGAGAGAGAGAGAGAGGCAGAGAGAAAGAGAGGGAAAGAGAGAATTCCAAGCAGGCTTCATGCTGTTAGCTCAGCGCCTGATGCGGAACTGTAACTCATGAACCGTGAGATCATGACCTGAACCGAAATCAAAGAGTTGGATGCCTACTGAGCCTCCCAGGCACCCCTAAATTGGAAACTTAAATAGTCTCTGAGATGATTCTCTTGCACACTGATCTTTGAGAAACTGATGATCTTTATTTTTTATTTACTTTTTTTTTTAACAGATCTTTTAAACCTGTGCTTTCCAAAATAGTATAGGCATGTTCTACTTGAAATCTAGCCACTCTGAATTGAGATATGCTCTAAGTATAAAATGAAAATTTTCTTTTTAGTAGGAAAAAGAAAAAGAATCTAAAATACCTCATTAATAATGAGCCTGAGTGGCTCACTTAGTTATGTGTCCAACTTCAGCTCAGGTCGTGATCTCACAGTTAGTGAGTTCAAGCCCCATGATGGGCTCTCTGCTGTCAGTGTGGGGCCTGCTTCGGATTCTCTGTCCCCTCTCTCTGCTCGCACTCAAGCTCACTCTCCCAGAAATAAACATTAAAAAAATAATGTATTTTGATTATGTGATGAAATAATATGTTAGTTTCACTGGGTTAAATATACAACTACAATTAAGTTTACAGTTGCATTTTACTTTTTACTTTGCTATTTGAACATTTTTAATTGCGTATGGAGCTCGGAATCTTTCTCTTGGATGGTGCTGTTCTGTACACTAAAAATAAGAATCTATGGCATGTCCATTGGATGGGAGGAATCAGCCAGGGACAACCGAAAGACTTAAAGAAAAGGACTTGTAAGAGGTCATTGGGTCCTACTAGTCTTTTGCCAACTTTTCATGTAGATAAAAGGTTGTGCTTATGATAAAGAGGATATTCTTGGTAAGGATATCGGATGGTTAATAACTTGTGTAAAGCAAAGCGGAAGCATGTTTGAACCATGGGGCTCTGATTGAAGATGAGTTGGAAAAGCTTGGACAAAAAATGGCAGGCATGGGAATGATGTAAAATTTTGTTCAAGGACCAATGGAGTCTTAACCACGAAAGCTCACAAAACATGCTTAAGATCACATTTCTGTGCATTGTCAACCCAAGGATGAGCAACTGATTTCAGAGATTTCCACTTTAGATCAGTATCTAAACTAAATGTGGGCTGCCTTCATTTGGGAGGGGGCCAGAATAAGAGCAGCTGTAACATTGAGTCCCTTGGTTTCACTCAGTGTTTGAAGCAAAGGCTGCTGGGTAATTGTAGGTATTTAAAGTTTGGGATGTTGATATTCAGATATATGAATCTGGAAAAAGTGATAATGATCATCTAATCTAGGGATTCTCAGTGTTTTTAGCAAAACACCATTCTCTATAAATGCATATAGCAAAATGGGTGGGCTGTGAACTTTAGGATATGAAAGGTCCAGAGGTCCTGCATCTAAAAAAAACTTGTTTAACATTAGTTAGCCTGAAGTTTTGTGAGCTTGTGACCACTGAACTGTTTCCTTTTCCTCTTACACAAGGATGGTATCTCATAGAAATGTTTTAGAGAACAAATCCATTTTTCTTTTCTTCACAAGCTGAAATTCAGAGATGCATTCTTTTTTTTTTTTTTTTTTTTCAAGTTATTTATTTTTGAGAGCAAGAGAGGGCGCGAGCCAGGGAAGGGCAGAGAGAGGGAGAGAGAGAATCCTGGGGCTGGATCTACCAACCCTGAGATCATGACCTGAGCTGAAAATCAAGAGTCAGATGCTTAACCGGTTGACTGAGCCACCCAGGCGCCCCCAAAGGGATGCATTCTTATTCTTAGACCAGCGTTCTCACTAGTTTATTCCTACTGTTTTCCAGGTGATACTATTTTATATTATAAATAACATCTTGCAGGGGCACCTGGGTGGCTTAGTCGGTTAAGCGTCCCACTTTCGCTTAGGTCGTGATCTCACGGTTCGTGGGTTCGAGCCCCGCGTCAGGCTCTGTGCTGCCTGCCAGCTCAGAGCCTGGAGCCTGTTTCAGTCTGTGACTCCCTCTCTCTCTGACCCTCCCCTGCTCACGCTGTCTCTCTCTCTCCTAGAAATAAATAAAAAAAATTAAAAAAAAATAAATAAATAACATCTTGCAATTATATATATTTTCCCAGTCCATATTTTCTTCAGTCGCAAATTAAAATGGTATTAGTTGGAACCAGAACCACTAGTTTTATGAAACACTCTACTTACCAAGAGATGAATATTTACGTATTAAATTGTTAAGTGGATTCATGTTTCACTTAAATTTTAGGCTCCACATGAATATTAAGCTGTGTTAGGATGTTCATCTAACAGGTGTAATATTTCTGTTTGCAGCCTCAAACTTCGATCTCTTCGAGTTAACGTAGGACAGCTGTTGGCCATGATTGTACCCGATCTCGATCTTCAGCAAGTGAATTACGATGTTGATGTGGTTGATGAAATTTTAGGGCAAGTTGTCGAACAAATGAGTGAAATCAGTAGTACCTAAAGTATATTTTATGTGAGATAATAAAAATACTTGCTTAATCCTCTTGGTTGTACAGCTTTCAAAATGTAAACAATTTTGTTTTATAGATATGATAGGTAACAGACTGAAGAATGAACCATAATCTTTACTGTATTCTATGCATTCAAGTGTGGTCACAAATACTGTGGACACATTATCACACCTTTTGAAATGCCTGTGAATCATCGGTACTGAGCAGCTGACTAGCTAACTCATGATTCTGTTTTGAAATGTAAATATTTGTAATTAAGTCTGCACATATTTTTTTATTCCCGTAGAGGACTTCAGTGTTTTTCACCAAGAGCTTTTCAGGTTGCCCCTAACCTTTGTGCAATCTTTTCTGGTTCCCAAAGTATTTTTCTCTGAAGCGAGGACTGTGCCACACTACAAGTGGAAATGGTACCTTTGATTTTCTTACAGAGAAGTTTAAACAGGATTTTTTAAAAATGGAATTATACTCCTAAGAAGATAAAGTTGTAAGTGAATTGACCATTAATGTTTCTTTTCTATAAATTCTTACCTCCTGAAGTATTTTATTCATGGAAATAAGGTAAACAGAAACTCTCCATCCAGGAGTTTCCTTGTGCTGAGACTGCCAATCATGGTTCAACGCAGTGTTTTTTATAGAACAAAGGAATGATCTTTAGTATAAAAAAGCATCAAAAATATGAAGTATCCCACCACATTTACTTTGAAGCCCATTTTTGGCTGCTTCGTCAGCATGGAGTGGGCACAATAATTGCTTAATATTTCTTTTTGTGAAATTTCCTGTACAGCCTTTTGTAGGATTACTACAGGTTCATGAGAGTTGAGGAAGGTTGAGGAAGGCAGTCTTTCTCAAACAGTGCGGCATACCTTTCACTATAGTATAGACCTAAGTATTCTATGGCCTGGGGGTGAGCGAACACTGCCCTAGGATGGTAGGTTTACATGCCAGAAAAATTAATGCTCTGTTGGTCCCACGTTTGTGCAATTTTAAAGAGATGGCTTTCTATTAAGTATAACTATGTATATATTAAGAATCGTATTTTCCACACTGAAATGTGCATTATTTTTTTCAAAGTTTTATCATTGCTATTTATTTTTACTTTTGTTTCCGAACATTCAGTCCATGTTTCTTTTGTATGTATGCATAATTACATGTCTTTCATATACAATATTAAATTTTTACTGTACATTAACTTCTAGAAAAAGCAAATAAATGAACGTTGTTTTTATTTGCTTGATAAAGTAATTGAAAGTGTATTTTTGGTATGAAGCTGGTTTTCTGTCCTAATTGTATCTGCCCAAATTTTAAAATATCTTGTAATAAAATAAAAATATATATAATGGCTAACTCTTCAGATACTACTTTTAAAGAATTCTATATTCAAATTATATTTTGGAAGCTAAAACTGTTCACTGAAGACCCTCAAGTTGAGCTCATTTTGCTATATTAATTGTAAGTTCTGTTTAGGAGACTAAAATTCTGAAGACGGAGCTCACCTTGAGAGAATGTGTGCGTGCGTGCGTGTGTATGTTTTATTTTACACTCAAGAAGAGACTTTTTCCTCTCTGTAAATCATTTAGGCTAAAGAAAACTTGCTTAAGTGATAGCATTGTAGAGCATGTCTAAGTTTGTGAATATTTATGTAGCATTTCTTTCTGGAATTTGCTATTTTTCCCTTCCTTAGGGTCAGCTATATTCTTGCAAAAATATATATTTTATATGGCTGTTATCTTGCTTAATGGGAGAGTTAGGCATAGGATTAGTAAATTTGCCTGCTAAATTGATTCCTTGGAAGTACTTACATATATTTCACCCTTTAAGAAAATATTGCCAGGATACAATTCTTTGAAAATGTAGCTAACAAAATTTAACAGAACAATGACATGGGCTTTCATGTATATATCATATTTAGGTAGAGATATCTATCTTTTGTCGTTAAGTTAAATTTGTAAGAGGCTAATGTGGGAGGACAGTGGTGTTTAAACTAGTTCTGACTATAAAACAAAAACAGTATGAGGAAGTAAACCAGCATAGTCCACAGTCCCTGCACACAGGACCCGCTTTAATTAGCAGAGGGTCCCCACAGCAGGAGTCGGGTGTGGCATATCAATGTGTTTTTCATTTGGGCCTCAAATTCCTAATGTGGGCAGTACTGCTGGTGACTCTGCCTGTGGTCTCTGATACTTAATGCTTGCAATCAGCAGCCCATTACTACATTATTTGTTACTGAAGAAGAATTAAAGTGATAACCTCTGGTGGTTCTCAGCCCTGGCTGCATATTAGAGTCACCTGAGAAGTTTTTAGGACTCCCAGTGCAAGGATGCACCCCATACTAATTCAGAGTCTGGGTCTGGGTCCAGATATCAGTGTTTTGTTTTTTTTTTTTTAAAGGCCTCTCCGTGTGCCATCAGAACTGAGAGCCATTGATCGATACCTTCCTGCGATGAGTGTTTACGGTACTGGACTCAGTTCGCTCCTGAAACAGTCAGGATTGGCAGGGCTGCTTTCTCGCTGGGGCCAGCTCGGAGGGAGAAAGGGGAGCAGAGTTGGTGCCCAAGATAGAGATGCAAATGGAACAGAATACTATAAAGTGAAAAGGTTTTTATCCACTGCTTCCCTGAAGTTAACCACTTTTGTCAACTGTTGCTTTTTGTATGTCCTTCCAGAAAATATTAGCTGCATACATATACACATTCATATATATGCATTCAGTTTATATTAAATTTTTATATCTTTATATTTGATTATATATTTGTATCTCAAGTTTACACAAAGATGATACACCAGATCATTGGTATCTTAACATTTCCATGTTACTTTTTTGAATAGGTTTGGTAACATTCTCTGATCTGCATATGCTCCTAATGCTCATTTCTCGCTCATGTTTTGACATTACAAAATATGATACTGTGGAAATTAATACACATCACACACACTTTTATAAGTATACCCAGAGTGTAAGTTCTTTGAAGTGAATATTGATAGGTCAAAGAGTGTATGCTATGTAACTTTTAATAAATGTTACCATCCAAAAATGAATTTAAACTCCTATGAAATAAACGTATAAGTGTGGTTTTTTTCCGCTATCTCTTCATCAAACTTAAACCTGATCTGTGAAAAAAATGACAGCTTGCATTGTCTCAGGTTGAATGTGCTTTCGTATGTTTTACTGACCATTGTGATTTATTTTCCTGCGTAGTACATCATATTGTTTGACCATTCTTTTCTATTGGGTTCTTACTGCTTTTAAAACTCTTTTTTCAGTGTTTATTTTTGAGAGAGAGAATGCATGCATGCATGGAGGTGGGCAGAGAGAGGGTTAAAGAAGTGGTTGTTAAAGAAGCTAAAAGCCTGGTTAATGTGGCCACAGACACTACCCAGACAGCTTTTGGAAAATCCACAGTAGGCTAAATCTTACTTTGTATAGAGTCTCCTAAACCCTCACCGAAGGAGACTGAGACACACACTGTCTGGTCACAGCTCACAAAAAGAATCCCATTAATATCCACTTGGCGGAACGAAGGACACCTGTATGTATGATGTTTAGAATTAAATTTTGTGACCACAGAGTTAATTTCCATACACTGGCCTATAGAGAGAAAGTCAAGACCAAAGGAGACCGAGTCTTGGTAAATCAAGCCATTCAGATAAGGTGAAGGTATTAAATGAGTGCAGTCACAGAGGATTAATGAGCAGTTCTAAAACTGGAGTGTGGATAAAAGTTCAGGAAGTTTTTGTATACAGACATTTCCAATAAGAATGAGTTGTGGGTAAATGCAGTTTCCTATTTCATCTACGAAACAACACATTTAACCCTAGGGACAGGGTTCTGCTGTTAACTTCTTACAAAGCAGTCAGGACTCACTATCATGGTAACAATATATAGAGCAAGTTTACATATGACTCAAAATAGCTTTTGCCCCAAGCTGGCTAATATTTAGGTTATGAGTGTCTTCACTATACAACCGTCCAGAATTCGACTGTCGTCTTCACAACAAAATGTGACGGTGCCTTATGTCCATGGAATGTGAGCCCATGGGTTTCCTGGCAAACGCTGTTGACAGTTGTGGCCTGTGTTTTGAAAGCTTGTACTGTGATCTAAACCAAGGGTGACTTAAAGTAGTTGAGGGGCACCAGGGTGGCTGTCGGTTAGGCCTCTGACTTTGGCTAAGGTCATGATCTCATGGTTCATGAGTTCAAGCCCCACCTCGGGTTCTGTGTTGACAGCTCAGAGCCTGAGCCTGCTTCGGATTCTGGGTCTCCCTCTCTCTCTGCTCTTCCTCTACTGGTGCTTTCTCTCTCTCTCTCTCTCTCTCTCTCTCTCTCAAAAATAAACAACAAAAAAAAGTAGTTTGGGCTTATAATGTGTTCATGGAGGCAGTTGAGCTACTGGAGAGCACTGTTGCCAGTTTGCTATCTGACCTTTGGCAGGTGGGTCCTGGGGGACAGGTGTTCATAGACTGCGGAATGGCCACTTGTGGAGATCCTGAGTTCCAGGGGTGAGTTGCCTAACCAGCTGACAGCAGAAGTGACACAGTCTAACCTAACTATACCTGACACCTCTTTTCCTAGTAGAGAAATAAAGGTGTGTAGGACAACAACTTATACATCATTCATTAGTAATTATAATCCTTATATAATTATGTGACATAAAATAGTATACACTGTATTCACTGTAATTGCTCTTAGTAGTTTCTCACCTCTCACTAATTTACTGTATTCTTAAATTTTTTTCAGTATCATATTTTAAACTCTATTACGGGACTTTTCAAATATACAAAAATAGAGAAACTATTGGGGCACCTGGGTGGCTCAGTTGGCTAGGCATCCAACTCTTGATTTCGGCCCAGGTCATGATCTCATGGTTCTTGAGTTCAAGCCCCCCACTGGGCTCTGAGTGGACACTGGAGCCTGCTTGGGGTTCTCTCTGCCCCTCCCCCATGTTCACTTGCTCTCTTTCTCAAAAATAAACTTAAAAAAAAAAAGGTGAAACTATTATAATGAACTCCCATGTAGCCATCACCCTGCTTCAACAGTTTTCAACTCCTGGGTCAATCTTGTTTTAAACCGTCTATACCCCCATTTACTTCTCTCCTCCCATAATATATTTTCATGTGTATTTTACAAGTATTAACTTGGATTTTTTTGCAGAAAAAAACATAAAATTTGCCATTTAACGATTGTTAAGTATATGAGTTGCATAAAGTACATTCATTGTACTCCCACCTCTGGGAACCCCTGTTTTCTACCTCTGAATTTGCTTATTCTAGGTATCTCATATCCATGGAATCAAAATTGTTGTCTTTTTGTCTGGCTGACTTCACTTTGCACAGCCTTTTTAAGGTTCATCCCTGTTGTTGCATATATCAATTTCATTCCTTTTTAAGGCTGGATAGTCCATTCTATGTGTGTGTACCACATTTTGATACCCATTTATCCGTCCATGGACATGTGTGGTGGTTTCACCCTTTGACTATGAAGAACAGCGCTGCTATAAACATTGTTTCCTATCTACTTGAGTCCTTGCTTCAGTTCTTTGGGATAACATACCTAAGAGTGGAATCAATGAATATGTGGTAGTTCTGTAAGTGTTTGAGGATTTGCCAAACTATTTTCCACAAAGACACCATTTTACATTCGAGCCAGCAATACAGAAGGGTTCCAATTTTTTCATATCCTTTACAACACTGAGTTTTTTTTTATTATTAACCATCTAACGAGTGTGAGGGGTTATAGTGGTTTTGATTTGCATTTCTCTAATGGCTAGTGATGTTAAGCTTTCATGTGTTTACTGGCCATTTGTATATTTTTGGAGAAATATCTATTCAAGTCTTTTGCCCATTTTTAGCTTGGATTGTTTATATTTTGATATTGACTTGCAGGCTATGATTTTTTAAAATATATATTCTGGATACTAGTCCTTATTAGATACATGATTTGCCAATATTTTCTCCCATTCTGTGGTTTGTCTTTCTACTCTTGAGTTTTTAATTTTGATGAAGTTGAATTTATTTATTTTGTTGCCTGTGCTTTTGGTATCATATCCAAGAAACCCTTGACTAATCCATCATCATGAAGATTTTCTTCTGAGAGCTTTATCTAATCTCTAATCTATTGACATCTCTAATCTATCTTGAATTAGTTTTTGCATATGGTGTAAGAGTTCAGCTTCATTTCTGTGCACGTGGATATCCAGTTTTCAGTTTTCCCAGTAACATTTTTTGAGACTGTCTTTTCGCCATTGAATAGTCCTCTCATCCTTGTTAAAAATCAATTGACCGTACAAGTGAGGGTTTGTTTCTGGGCTCTATATTCCATTGGTTTGTATGTCCTTATGCCAGAATCACAGTATTTTGATTACTGTAACTTTCCAGTAAGTTCTGAAGTCAGGAGGTGTGAGTTCTCCAACTTTGTCCTTCCTCAAGAATGTTTAGCTATTCAGAGCCCCTTGAGATACCATCTGGATTTCAGGACAGTTTTCTATTTCTGCAAAACATGTCACTGGAATTCTGATAGGAATTGCATTAAATCTGTGGATTATTTAGGGTGGCATTGACATCTCAACAATATCAAATCTTCCAATCCATGAACATGGGATGTCTTTCCATTTATTTGTCTTCTTTAGATTCAGCAATGTTTTGTTTTTGTACAAATCTTTCATTTCCTTGATTAAGTTTATTCCTAAGCATTTTTTTTTCCTTTCTGATGCTATTATAAATGGAATTGTTTTCTCAATTTCCTTTCTGAAAGTTCATTGTTAGTGTTTAGAGATGCAACTGATTTTTACGTGACTTTTCTAACCTGCAACTTTGCTGAATTCATTTGTTAGCCTGAACAGGTTTGCGGGGCGGGGGAACTCTTTAGAATATTCTGTCTGCACAGCGGTGCCTGGGTGGCTTAGTCGGTTAAGCGTCCGACTTTCGCTTAGGTCATGATCTCGCAGTTCATGGGTTCGAGCCCCGCATCAGGCTCTGTGCTGACTGCCAGCTCAGAGCCTGGAGCCCGTTTCAGAGTCTGTCACTCCCTCTCTCTCTGACCCTCCCCTGCTCATGCTGTCTCTCTCTCTCTCCTAGAAATAAATAAAACATTAAAAAAATTTTAGAATATTCCATCTGCACAAAGATAACTTGACTTCTTTCTTTCTAGTTTAGATGTCTTTTCTTTTTCTTGCTCGGTTGCTCTGGCTAGACCTTCCAATGCTGTGTTGAACAGAAGTGGTAAAATTAGACATCCTTGTCCTATTCCTGATCTTGGGGAAAGCTGTCACCACTGAGAATGGCAGTCATTAGCTATGGTTTTTCATATATTTTGGCTATCATTGAGAAAGTTTCCTTCTACTTCCAGATTATTGTTTTTTTTTATTTTTAATCATGAAAGTGTGTTGAGTTTTGCCAAATGCTTTTTCTGCAGCAAATGAGATGATCGTGTGGTTTTGTCCCCTTTCATGCTAATAATGTGCATTACATTGATTTTTGCATGTTGAGCCATTCTAGCATTCCAGAGAATACCATTTGTTCATGGCATATAATCCTTTCAATATGTTGCTGAATTTGTTGTTGGTAGTATTTTGTTGAGGTGTTTGTTTGGTTTTGTTTTTGCACCAATACTCATCTTGGTCTGTATTTTTCTTTTCTTGTAGGGCTTGTCTGGCTTTGGTATCAGGGTAATAAATGAATCAGGAAGTGTTTCCTCCTCTTTAATTTTTTGGAAGAATTTGAGAAGAATTGGTGTTAATTTTTCGGTAAATCTTTGGTAGAATTCACTAGTGAGTCCATCTAGCTAGGGCTTTTCTTTGTTGGGAGGCTTTTGATTATTGAGTCAATTTTCTTACTAGTTTTAAGTATTCATATTTTCTGTTTCTTCATGATTAAGTTTTGGTAAATTGTATGTTTCTAGGAATTTGACCATTCATACAGGTTATCCAGTTTGCTGGCATGCAATTGTCCATACCATTCTCTTTTTATTCCATAAAATAATCCTTTTTATTTTAATAACATCAGTAATATGCCCCTCTCTTTTCTGATTTTAGTAATTTCAGTATTTTT